GAACACGAGTCAAATGATCAGCAAAAGGAGACTTGTAGAAACCAGGAACAATAAGAAAAATAGGAAACCAACAACAAAATAGAGACCAGAAAACAAAAGTTGAGGCTATGCGTTGAGATACCGTCGGTCTTGGCACAGGCTTCCGTCATCCCCAAGCTCCCCCGTCCCTCAGGACACACCTCCAGTTTGTATCCGTTAACAGCCAGCGACGCTCTATTTCCTGGCTCCAAATCTCCCAGATTACACCCACAATGTCACTGGAGCCACCCACCTACCTCAGCTCCCTCCAGAATAACATTCGAGCTCGCCCAATTCCGTGGGAGGGTGCCGTCCGAGCGGGCAACATCACCGATGACCACTTGAAGAAGATCAAGGCGGTGGATAAGGTGCGCAAGGACCAACGCCGCCAGACAATAGAAGGAGATCTCGCTGGATACACAGAGCTGTTGGTTGGCGGCTCACAGGGAAAGAGTGTCCTGGACTCGGCCTCTCGAAGGACCGATATTGTGCAGTATATATTGGTACTAGCCTCGGACTTGATTCAAGGTATTTACTGCTGGAGGAGCTGAAATTTCGACAAATCATACTAATCTTATCTTCAATAGATGTGCCTTCCCTGGCCAACTCGCTTGTTTCTCACCCAGAACCGTACAAGCCCTTCCTACCGTTCCTGCAGCACTCGACAAACGCCGAAGACCCCATTCCTCTGCTCACGTCCACCTTCCTCACGGCGCTTGTGTCGCACAGTCTAGTTAATTCATCAAAACCTGCACCGCGCGATAACGAGGCTCTCCCACGGCTCTACACCTATCTCTCTACTTTAACCAAGAACCAGGACAGTGGGCTCCAAGACATTGGTGTTCAAGGATTCTCAGAGCTGCTGAGAACAAGTCGCTCCCGGGAGATATTCTGGGCGCAACGTCAGGAGACTCTGGTCCCCTTGATCAACACTCTTCGAGCTGCGGCGGGGGCTAAGGACAACACAGGCAACGCAAGCACACTGGGAAGCAACACTCGCAGCGTCGAGCCTGGTCTCGCCGGTGGTGTTGGCCTCCAGCTTCTATATCGGGTTCTCCTTGTTTTATGGCAGCTTTCGTTTGAGGGCGCTCTCGTTGGCGACGAACTTCAAGAGTAAGTGATATGACGACAATCAATTTACACTTTGAGCAGCTACTAAGCCTACCTAGGAACTATGAAATCATTCAACTCTACACTCATCTCCTGCGTCTCTCACCGAAAGAAAAGACCACCCGCTTGCTTCTTGCAACTTTGTACAATCTCTGCTCTAGCAACCGGACGACTCTGCTACCGATCGCCGTGTTCCTTCGACTCCCTGCCCTCCTGGTTAACTTGAATGGTCGTCACTTGACTGACCCCGACCTGCTCGAGGATCTCAACGCGCTTTCTTCCATGTTGGAGGAGTACACCAAGACACAGACCACCTTTGACGAATATGCCGCTGAAGTTCAGTCGGGCCACCTGCGCTGGTCGCCCCCTCACAAGAACCCAACCTTCTGGAAGGAGAACGCTCGACGAATTGTTGAGGAGTCGAACGGAGCCTTGCCCAAGAAACTGGTCGAGATTTTGTCTAAGAGTTGGGATAACGACAAGCAGGTCCTGGCTATTGCCTGTAACGACGTAGGGCACTTAGTGAAGGAAGTTCCCGAACGCCGCGGACAATTGGAGCGACTGGGCCTGAAGACGCGGGTGATGGAACTGATGGTTGATTCAGATGAATCAGTACGGTGGGAGAGCTTGCACGCCGTCGGCGAGTGGCTTCGATATACCTTTGAGGGCTGATCTCCCAAAGAGGACTTTTTGATGTGTTGATGGCTTTCCAGGATGAACATATACTCTGGCTGGCATGTACTGTGTATCTTCTTGCCATAGCGCATACTCGCTTCCTTTTTTTTTCTTGGGGCTCCTAGAATCATACTCATCCATGTCGTTCATGGCCCACTTGCGATCGATTGCTAAAGAACCCGAGATATGCAACAGTACAAAACTTAGCAAGCGCCCCTTAATCTCTATAGAGTCCCGTGTACAACATATTCACTTCATCTCCCCCTATTCCCCAGAATTATATTTGCCACGCGGGCCGGTGCCGGGGAGCTTTCCATTCCCCACAGGAATTCTTCGAGAACATCATCCCACCCAACCCGCAGCACCCATGTCGAGATCCTTCACAGGTTGCAAGAGATGTAAATCGCGCCGACAAAAATGTGACGAGCAGAGACCGAATTGTGGGCGCTGTCAGACTGCAGGCGAGCAATGCCAATATGCAATGCAGTTGCAGTGGGGTGGACGGGCGTTCTCACGATCCCGCTTTGGTGCTTGCGTCGGCACAGGCATGCATAGATTCGGTAAGTACTTCAAACCAGATGGACCTTATAGATAGTTCTGACTATCACAGAATATTCACCAGGGGAGTTTATCTATACCACCAAGAAGGCGGTGCAGCCAGCCCGCGCCAGCACCGGATCAGATCTCACTCTGTCGCAACCCGTCGATCCCTTCTCGTCCTTGTCGTCCAGTCAAAAGGCCTTGTTGCACCATTTTATCAACGATGCCTCTCAAATAACCGCATGCCATTCAGGAATGCAGCAGGACATATGTCGCATGCTGATCCCGATGGCTCTCCAGACTCCCTCCTTACTCTACGCTACAACCGCCCTATCGGCGATCCATATCCAAGCCCTACACAACCAGTCGGAAAGCGTAAAATCAGCGCCGGATATTGCCCGACTAATGGCCCTTAGTCTTGAACATTTCCGAACAGAGCTGCAGAATCCCTCGTCTAAGGACCCGGAGGCGCTGGTAGCAACGGCTCGGACGCTCTGTCTAGCTGAAATCCATTCTGGAGCGATCAACCCGAACTCATGGAGAGCACATATTGATGGGGCGAGAGCATTAATGAGGGCGTCTGATGCCGCTGGTGATGACTCTCTGCGGTCTACAAGCGGGTTCCGACAATATTTGGATCGTTGGTACTGGTCGATCGTGTCGCTTACAGCACTGACGGGCAATGGTCCACCCATTGGAGATACTTCCGACTTCGCCTCCTCTGATTTGATGGGGTCAGGTGGGTCTCCTGATTATTTAGATGACTACTGGGGTTTCAGTGTAGACCTTGCGGCTGTCTTTAGGCAGATTGGCGCTGCTGCCTGGCGAAGCCATGAAGTCGAGAAGGCTACCCAGGGGTTTGTTGCAGGAGAGATTGACAGCAGTGTTGAGGACGATGCGGCGTCCTTGGAGTACGCAATTCGACAGCTCATGAATCGTGACTCACACTCGCAACCCTCGTTCTATCCTAGAGCCGCAGAAGGCTTATCTGCGGAGACCGCGCAGCAGCTTCTGCTATGCAATGAGGCATTCCAGCACAGTGCGCTCATCCAGATTCACCGGCGACTTCGGAAAACACCAACTATGTCCCCGGAAGTACAACAGTCGGTCCAGCGCATTCTGGAGTGCACGGCGCAGATCGGGCCATCGTCAGGTCTATCACCTTGGGTTATGTTAACGACACCAATCTTTATTGCGGGCTGCGAAGCGCGCGGTCAAGATCGGGATACAGTGAGCCAACTGCTGTCGTCCTTGCATGACACTATTCGTGTTCCGAACGTTCTTCAGTCATTGAGATTCCTCGAGCAGTATTGGGCTAACCAACTGAGCGAGGAAGAAGATTGGAGCCATTTCCTCGGTAAGTTATTTATTGCATCGTTTCTTTGTGTTTCCATGCTAATATATCCCACAAAGAACGAATGCAGTTCGATTTTATCCCTTACTAGGGAGACCCCAGTCGGTGGCAGCCTGTTATGCCTCATGTGCAATGATTCATGCTTTTGGGTTCCGGTTGTATATACCATTATCTTCTTTGTTATACTGTAATTTTCTGTATCAACAAGTCAACGTTGGCAGAGTTTCGAAGTGCATATCTACATGTACTTAAGCCCTGGCGTTTGGGAGTTGCTAGTGATAGATTTTTGAACAGTTGTATAGAATATATCTTTGCCTTTTGAATCTAACCATTTCCTTTCGATTTTACTCGTATGCAAATCAGACTCACGCGGCTAAGGAAATCAGTCATGGAGGTATTGAAGTGGAAGACGGAGCTAAGCAGCCAAGCTCTCCCGAAGCCGGACATAACAAGCCACGAAACAGAAACGATAAGCTGACTTGCATCAGTGAATTCTAATCTTTTTTTAGTCCCGAGTGCTAAGCGATGATAGTCCTTCCAACCTAGGAATAGCATAATATGAAATTAACCGTGTCAAGCAGCGTTGGTGCGCGTAGACACAGATAAATCAGGTATCTTTTACATGGATTCCATATATAAAAGATACTTAAACACATCATCAGCAACATATGGATTTTCTTGTCCCCGAGATAGGTATCTGTATACCGTATTTATGGTGCGACATGGCTTTCCCTTCCTGCTTAAATGCAATGTAAATTCCGCAGAAGTTAGCAGGGTTGGTTTATGATGGAAGGGGTGTCTTTGCTTGTGCATCTAGTTTTATGTAAACTCCATCATAAGAACTTGAGACGAAGGTACGGAGTATATAGTTTGCACTTTGTACTTAGTGCGAACTAGGGCCATAGCAGACAGCGGTGGTTGGTCAACATTAGGCATTGTTTCATGTCGATACCCGCTAAGGGTACGGATATATAAGGGCCCAGTCTCATAAACTTAGTAGGCGTTTCAGATTAGACTAAGTCTGATCTGTTTTCCCAGTGAAGAAAGATGGACCTATCCAGCTTGTTGCCATGTCAAGGAGTAAATTCCTCATCCACCGAAAATGGAGACCCAAAGTAATAAATACCGAGCCCGCACTCCTATGGGATAGGGAGAGTCCTTTCATTCGACGCTCTATTAATTCTTTCCTTCTCCATTTCGTTTCTTTTTGGGATCTCGATCCTGGTGATTGAGATCGCTACCCTCTTTTAGAGTTTTTTCTTGAAACTTGTACATTATAGTTCCTATTTGTACCGTCTTCACCATGAAGTCCATTCAGCTTGCTCTCGCCCTCACGGCGGCTAGCATCCCCAGCGTCTCCGCGCACTATTTCTTCCCTACCCTCATCGTGAATGGGAATGAGACCGGATACTACGAGTATGTGCGCGAAGATACTCAGAGCTATATGCCTTTCAAGGGCAACTACGCCAGTGATGATTTCCGCTGCAATACAGGCTCGGATGCGTACGCCCAGAAGACAGATGTCTATAAGGTCAAAGCTGGTGATATGATTGGATTTGCTACCGACTTTGGCGCTCAGATTGAGCATCCTGGTCCCATGCAGGTTTATCTGTCCAAGGCACCTGGTAGCGTCAAGACCTACGATGGCTCAGGCGACTGGTTCAAGATCTACGAGCTTGGTCCCACATCATTTGGCAACGATGGGATTCAATGGGGCGTGACGGGAAAGAGTCAATTCGACTTCACCCTTCCCAAGGAAACGCCCGCTGGTCAATACCTTGTTCGTATCGAGCATATTGCAGTGCACGGAGCTGGCGAATTCGGCGGTGCTGAGTTCTACTTTAACTGTGCCCAGATTGAAGTTGAGAGTGACAGCACAGCTATTCCTGGACCCACTGTCAAGATTCCTGGCGTCTATGATGGCTATGAGCAGGGAATCCTCTTTTACATGTATCGCGACTATATCACAAACTACACTGTCCCAGGGCCCCGTGTGTGGCCCGATGGCGGTGATGCTGATGTTACCGCTCAGAGTGTGAGGGTTGCACCTACCACGGCTTGGTCTGCATTGGCCGTGACAAACTATCCCTCCTCTTCCATCATCTACAGCGCCGCACCATCTAGCACCTCAGCAACTACGGCACCTTCCTCAACTTCCCTCGTTTCTTTTACAGGATCTGTCCATGGACACAGTCATGGTCACAGCAATCATGTTTCTGTCTCAGATTTGCCCTTGGAAACCAGCATCTCCGTTCAAAGCAGTAGCTCTGTGGGTGCTAATGAGACCATTGAGACTACCTCGCCCATTCAGACCACTTTCACTGTGACAACTTCAAGCGCCAACGCTTTTTGCAGTAAACGGGCTACTGTCACCTCTACAGTGACCGAGACCGAAACCTCCTACATTCCTACACCCACTACGACCAAGTGTGCACCTACAACGACGGTCACTGTAAGTACAACTACCACCATCATGGCATAGACTATCTCGGGGATTTTCTAGTTGATGGAAGCTGCGAAGGGGAAGCGCTTTTCTATCCTTTTGAGGCTCCTGGATACTTTTAAAACCTATTTAATCAACACTCTTTATAAAAATAAAAGGGTACTAGAGGTTAGGAGAATAGGGGAGCAAAAGTAGAGGGATATCAGAAGCTATTTTAGAGTATAAATTTGTATGTAAACCAGATATATATATATAATATACAGGGACCTAGATTTAACGAAAACCTAGATTTAACAAATCTTTGGTCCTGTCTCAATGAATTCTTTATAACTGGGTTTTACTGTATATATTAATTTAACAAGGTAGGTTAAAATACTTAAAATAGGTTTAATATAAAATATATTATAGTTGATAGTATCTATGAAGGGCTATAGTTAAATTAATTTGACTAAACGGTGCCTCTATACTATTTATACTAAAGATTAAAGAGTTATATTATATCATTCATCAAGAACAACCATTCCCAGCCGCCGAGCAACCGCACTCATATCCACGCCACGCACAATATTCGTATTATCAGAAAGAACCTCCGAATCATTGACCTTACTACAATGATTCTTGTAGAAGTAAACTCCGTTCTCGGAGACAAATTTTGCGCGATCAAGAACGACTGTGAACGTGCCAGATTCGTACGGTAACCAGTTGTGCAGATATTTTTCAGGGCCACGAGGAGTAACTCGTTTTGCAGCTGGGGGTTGATCCTCTTCTGAGGGGATATTGTGAAGGGCGCCAATAGGGAAAGGGCTTTCCTGGCTTTCTTGATTTTGCTGGGATAAACTTTCAAGAACTTCATTTTGGGCGGGGCCGATGGCCGACCAGGAATTGGACTTTGGAATGAAGAATTTGAGGGCGAGGGTTTTATTGGCCGGAAGGTGGGAGAGGACAGACGCTGTGAAGAGACGCGCTGTGCTTTCGAGGAGGAAGAAGCCTGCCGTGTCGCGTATATGACTGAGAAAAGATGTGTGGACAACGTATTGAATGTCAGAGGGTTTGCCCTTAGGAGTATTGGTGACTGTAACAATGTCGGCTTCTCTAGAAACCTGGAATGCCGGACCAAGAGAAAAGCCACCAACCGAGGTTTCTTGGCCGAGCTGGTCACGAATCTGCTCTTCTGTTGGCATACCTTGGCCAGGAGGTTCGCCCTCGTCAAAATCCAAGGCATATCGCTGATGGGCATAAGAAGAGACATTAAGGAACAAATCGAGGATTATCATCTGGCCGATATCCATTTGCTCCGTAACACGTTCGATGGATAGTTCAAATGCCTCTGACCTGAGGTCTTTATTGTCCTCGGGTGAATGCTGCGCCAAGTTAGCATCAGCGCGTGTGCTAGAAAATGTGCGGTTGAAGTAAAGTAAATCCGGGCCTTCGCCGATCTCCTCAGCCTCCTCGGAGTCCTCCATATTGCCCACTCGATAACTGCGCGATCGCACCAGAACGCAAAATCCAATATTGGATAGGCGATTGGGACGATTCCATCGCGCAATCAGTGGAAGAGGATTTTCGACTCCTGACCGATGTTGCTGCTTGCGACGCGCGATTTCCATACGATTATGCTCAATGCAGGCAAAGCCATCGGGCGGGCGGTATGAGTAAATTTCGAACAAAGGCTTCACTTCGTCGTCCGAGAACGTCTGCATGAGGTATTCTCGGAGCTCTTCGTGGTCGTCGTCCAAGGGAACAAGACTGTAGATCTGAATGGGAGTTTCCAGATCGGGGTCTGTCTCGAAATCTGGCGAGACATACTGCTCGAGCACGACAGGATGACCCAAATGGTCCGTGTAGGTGCGCACTTGCTGCCAATCCATCTCAGGTCTTGCAACTGGGGCTATGGTTGGCGCAAATGAGCAGCGACCTTTGATGAGGACAACAGGTTTCAAAGAGACTACTGAAGTAAACGTGGGGAGCGACGGGCTTAAATGGTCCGGTACATATGTAAACTAGGTGACTGTAAAACTTCCACTCCGGGAACTGATTAGCTCCCAACCTTCCAAGGAAAGCAAGGAGCGAGTTAGTCACCCCTGAGTAGCTCATGCCTAACAAATATCAGGGTCTGATATATATACCGCGGGAATGATAAATACACGATCTTTTGGCCTAGCGGATAAATGATCTGACGTAATTTCTATGCATCAATGTCTCGGTACGAGGGTTCTAACAAAAACCTACGGAGTACTTCTTGTCTGTCTTAAAAGTGATCACACGTGACACCCCGGGTTCCGGCCCAAAGTTCTTCACAGTCTATTAATAGTCGCCCTGGGTGATTAACCGCGCCTCGTAGCATAGATGCCAAGCCATAGCAAAACAGCACCTTTCTTCAAACTCTATATAAGAGCAGTACATTGGCGTGGCACCGGTCCCATGGCTGCAATTGTTTGCCTTCCAGTAGAAGACAGCCGGTTTGGATCCTTCCCACCTGCAGAAATCCCGACACGAGTTCGTGAAGGTGGCTACTATACGAACTTGAACCAGGCATGACCGCATGACAGATTCTTGGTGTCAGTCGATTAAGGGAGTGTCGTCGGGAACAATTATCCCCTTTCCCTACAACATACGCTCCACTACGCACCTGATTATCGAGAGAATCTCAGGTCGGGGGGACATCATCATGTTTAAGCGGGGTACGCCGAGACGACTCGGTATACCTCGGGTAAAGAGAGACGGGTTGGATCTTTCGATACAATTTCCTTGATTCCCAGGCTTCTCCACACCTCTGAAGTCATCCTTCGCTCCACATGGACAATTCAAAGAAAAGGCTCCAGTGTTGTCACGGATGTAACACTACTGGATGCGATGTTTTTAATGCGGGGTACATGCAGTGGTGATGTACATGTCTTACCTGCCAGTCGTGTTGATTGGCCGCGAGATGGACCCTTGGTGGTCTGACAACCTAAGACATGGGTACCATGTCTTAGAAAGGCCTCAGGGTACACCATCGGTACATCATACTCATTGTAGTCCAAGCAAAAGACCTATATAAGGACCGCCAATTCCTTTCCTTGTCGAGATACAAATAACACAAGCCTCTATTGCAAACCCAAAAAGCGAACATCAACTATGAAGACCTCTTTGATCGCACTTGGTGCCCTTCTCGGCCTGGTCTCGGCCCAGAATGCCGTCGTGCATAACCACTGTGCTACCTCTGTGTATGTGCAGTCGTTCCCTTACGATGGTAGCGCCCCTGGCCCTCTCACCACCGTTCCTAAGGGGGAACTTTCTCTGAGAAATTCAGAGCATCTGGTTCGGTATGTTACTATCTCCTGTTCGGTCAATACAATGCTTTGTAGAGTAAGGAAGACTGACTAAAGATGGAATGTGTAGACCGTCAAGATTGCCAAGACAAAGACGCTGGATAAGCCTCTCTTCTTTGGCTACTCGCTCTCGTCTAACCCAGACTACGCGTACTGTGAGTGCATTTACTCTATCTGATAGCTAGGAATATCTTATTGACTGCCTTTCAGACGAACTGAGCACCGAATGGGGCAACCCCTTCGCTGCGAACCCCAACTCGCTTAGTCCCGGGGACGGTTGCGAGGTCTTTGACTGTGCGGCCAACGATGCTGCCTGCTACAGTACCCCAGCCCACAAGAAGGTTTATGGGTGCCCCCAGCCAGTCACCCTGACGGCGGACCTGTGTCAGTAAGGACCTGTGTTAGTAACTATGTCACCTACTCTGTAATGTGGTAGGGTCATGGAGATCTCTCTCTCTCTCTCTCTCTCTCTCTCTCTCTTTTTCTGTGTGTGTTTTCTTGTCCTTGTTTCACCCTGTCGCAGGCCGTCTCAGTGATTGCTTTGTGGGAGGAGGAGACAAGCATTTGTCATGACATTAGTAGTGTTTGGGGGACTATAAATAATCATAATAACATAGAAAATCTGCCACTCTCTCGTTATATATATTTCCACATGTATCAGATGTCTTTTCAAGATATCATTGCTCTTTCACGTTAGGTATCTACATCAATGGTGGTATGATGACAATTGTATCGAATTTCATATCTTCTAGTACTTTTTCTCTTCTGAGAGAATCCGTAAGGTGTCCAAGTATCCTAGAACATATCTCGAGTTATAGGTGCAAGAGCTATAGACGCATTTTGGTGTCAACCAATCAATCAACTGGGCTTGTGGTTTAGTGGTATAATACTCCCTTAGCATGGGAGTGGTCCAGGGTTCGATTCCCTGCAAGTCCAGATCTTTTTTGTCTCTATTCAAGACAAATTTCTTTTTTTTACATAGTGGGTCAGTGATTGTCACACTGCAAAAGTTTGAACCCAATCAAAAATTCTGCCCGCAAATTGATTATACATCAGTCAAATATCCATCAATCAAAAGCGAGATACACCAGGCGGTATGCCGTTAGTAGAAGGCGGTACAAATAGGGATGTTCAAAGTTTGCAGAGTCACCCATGGACGGGAGACGGCATTAATAAGCTTGGCACGGTCTTAAGGCTCGGAGTCGGGTGAAGCTCAATATAATTCTGCAAACGCCATCCCATGAGGCGTCTGTTGGACATTTTGATTGGTGCTGACTTTCACTCTTATTTATAATATCCGATTTTTGATACATTCGAATTCTTTGGAATTGAGCTTTGATTCCTAAGGCTCGGGTTTTTGATTCCTAACGGACTTTAGAATGTGAAGGATTAGAAAACGTAGTATGGTTTTGGAAGTATATAATCTGTCTATTCTACCTCCCATTTAATAGTATCTCATTCAATCTATCCAAATCAGCTACAACCACCCAAGGGTGCACCTCTTGCCCTGTTAATCATCCCTATCAGAATGGCATCTGTCATTCGAGATGCCCCATTCGGGCAGCTTGTTCGTCTTTTGACAAACAATAAATACTTCCAATACCCTGAAGAAAAGCCCGACTTCCAGCTTCCCGATACATGGCTCCAATTGCTAAACTCAAGCGGCGATGAAAGCGATGAAAAAAATAAGATCCGACGAACCTCTAGCCAAAGCGATGAACACAGCGAGACCCTAAGCCGGGCCTCCACCGAAGCATCCTTGCAATTTACCGAAGCGCGCCTCGAGGCTGATGAACAACATGAGATAGAGAAAGTCAAATCCATTCCAATCGCCCCCAAGAAAACAAAAGATGGTTCCATCCTTGTTGATTGGTACTATACCGATGATCCAGAGAACCCACACAACTGGTCCAATCGCAAGCGCGCTCTTATCACCATCCTGATCTGTTTGTATACTTTCGTGGTATATACCACTTCTGCTATCTACACCTCCTCAACAGAGGGTGTCATGAAGGAGTTCGGTGTGAGCACCTTGATCGCTACTTTGGGGTTGTCACTCTATGTTCTGGGATATGGTATCGGGCCATTGGTCTTTTCTCCTCTGAGTGAAATTCCCGTGATTGGACGCAATCCAGTCTATATCGTCACCATGTTTCTCTTCGTGATCATCTCCATCCCCACGGCCCTGGTAGACAACTTCGCCGGCTTGCTGGTGCTACGCTTCCTGCAAGGCTTCTTTGGCTCGCCCTGTCTTGCATCTGGAGGTGCTTCCATTGGAGATTTGTATAGTCTAATGTCCCTACCATATGCCATGATGGCTTGGGTTTCTGCCGCTTACTGTGGACGTAAGTTCCATTCCCTCTTCATTTATACCCAATATCTGTCCATATACTAACAAGATCATACAGCCGCTCTCGGCCCTCTCCTCAGCGGCTTCGCCGTCCCCATCAAAGGCTGGCGCTGGTCGCTCTTCGAATCAATCTGGGCCTCTGCCCCGGTCTTCATCCTGATGTTCATGTTCCTCCCGGAAACCAGCAGCGCAACAATTCTACTTCGACGCGCCGATCGCCTCCGCAAGATCCACAATACTAAGCGCTTCCAATCTCAATCCGAAATTGACCAGCGCAACATGCAAATATCCGACGTTGCCATCGACGCTCTGATCAAGCCCTTGGAAATCACCATCAAGGATCCCGCCGTCCTCTTCGTCCAAATCTACACAGCCATCATCTACGGAATTTACTACTCCTTCTTCGAGGTCTTCCCCCTGGTCTACCCAGTCGACTACAACATGAACCTTGGCCAGATCGGTCTCGTTTTCCTCTGTATGATGGTTGCATGCATTATCGGCGTTGCCATGTACGCCAGCTACATCTACTTCTGGATGAACCCTCGCATCCGGCGCTTCGGCTTCCCCCAGAATGAAGATCTTCTTATCCCCGCGCTGCCTGCTGCCTTTGGTCCTATGATTGGTTTGTTCGTCTTTGCATGGACGGCCCGTGCGTCCATCCATTGGATTGTGCCCACCATTGGTATCACCATCTATGGTGCTACAGTTTTTGTCGTCATGCAGTGCATCTTCATGTACATTCCCCTGACATACCCCAAATACGCGGCTAGTCTATTCGCTGCGAATGATTTCTTCCGAAGTGCACTTGCTTGCGGCAGTGTGCTGTTTGCGCACCCGTTGTTCGGGAATTTGGGTGTCGCTCGTGGTGTCAGCCTTCTTGGTGGATTGAGTGTTATTGGTATCATTGGTATCTGGTTGCTTTACTTCTTTGGTAGCAAACTTCGTGCCTTGAGCAAGTTTGCTATTTCGGAGGATGTGGAATGAATGTTTCTTTTGATTGCATATTTACGATTTGAAACGACAAGCTGGCGCATGGTACATGTTGATGGTGATACGAGGAATACAGAGTAGGAGGAGTGGAAAAAAATCAGTGCCATACTAGCGACGAGCGTATAGATTATTGTTAATAATGAGAATTTTAATATATAATACCCTGACCGGCCTTTGTCCCTTGAACAATTGTAGATCTGAGATATGACCCGATGAGACGGGGAACCAATAAGTTATCTTCTTTCTCTTCTGCGCTCTTATAAGTAGAGAGCATTGATCTAGATTAGAGAATTTTCAAGCTCACCTATATGAGTCTTTCCAATGTGTGTTCCTGGCTTGCACTTGAAAAGAACATGTTGTACAAGTATTGTGTGGTTATGTCACAAGGAGATTGGCGACACTATCATTGTCTCTTGTATGGGTCAGAAACTACGAGATAACGATGCAAATATCTTGAATTATTGTTCTAGGAAAAACTTTCGAGACGAGAATAGAGATTCCAATCCTCCAGCTGATGTTTAGCCACAAAGAGAGATTATATCCTCAGGGACATAGGGGCGCATGATATCAATCAGTTTTGAGAGAGGGACCCAGTCAAGAAGACCGTGGATGCTTCGAACGGGATGACCACTATACAAGACCCGGGCGTAGAAGGACTTGCCATGTTTCTTATCTCCCGTTTCCCTGAGGAACTGTTAGAGAATCCCAACTAACTAGAAAGCAGGCTTGACTTACCAAACTTCAAAAGCAACATTTGATGCCATACCGGGCCAGCGCAGTGCCTCAATTCCCAGAGAACCAAGGATAGGACCGATATCCCCATCATGAATAAAGATGTGGCTGTAATCAAGGGAAGAATTTCCGTCCAGGACAGCTTGCAGACGCGAGATAATCTCACCAATAAACAAGCCCTCGACAACCTGGATATATTTGACTACTTCCGGGTTCGAGCGCCAGTAGCAATTCCACTCCCAATCACCAGCACGGAAGACCTCCTCAGCCATCTGCATCGTAACACAGGCCGAGGGATTCGACAGACTACAGGGTAACCTATAGCCGTTACATAGACGACCTTGGAAGTTATCTGAAAAGTGATCAAAGGTATTTTGCCACGAATTGTCTGTCGCACCCAGCATAACGCCCAGCTTCGAGCGCAGCTCTTCGGTGACAGCCAAATGTTCTTTCCACTGCGTGGAAGACTTTATGCTCGATAGAATAGAGCCGACAGCAGGACAAGAGTATCCTGCATTGACAGTATTGACAGAAGAAACCATCTGGTGCAGGGGTAGAGCTTCCTTGTGGTGAGGCCACATGCCGCGCAGGACCGTGCCAGCAGAGGCCTGTGTGAGAGCGGACTCGCTGGAGCGGAACCAGACGCGGTTGTTTGGCTTCTTGGGAATCAAGCCAAGCTTCTTGCCGTAGACGCTCCACAGGTCCTTGCCGTGCTGATACCCGTCCTCGACTCCTCCAATGGTGATCTGGGGGGTACTGACAGGTGCCGTTCACGCCGGGGGTGAAGGGGTTAGTGGGGTCCTGGTATGTCTGTGCGTACATTGGCATAGGCTGAATGCCATTTGCGCTATTGGGGCCGGCGTAGAGATAAGGGCGCACATTATCGCAGTGATATGCTTGATTCTGGGGGAAGGGATTAGGATGGGCCGAGGGTCAAAGTCAATCTGAGAGTTGCTTACCTCACCACCCGGGAGAATGTTATACGGAGTTCGTCGCTGATGACGCTGGAGATACTCTAGGTACACAAGCTTTCCCTTGGTTGAGCCGTTGGCTAGAGCTTCAGGGAGCTGATATTCTTCCGAGCGAGGATGCGGCATGGAGCAGTAGTCGTAGGTACCATAGGGATTGCCACCGGTCGGACCATTGGTTGGAGCTTCATAGATACCACCATGTGTCCCAATTGAGCTGTTGTTGATATATGATGTATCATTCAGCGTTGGGGGATAGAAGGAGTCCACAGGGGTTTGACCCAGCACTGAGGTCGCCACGGAAAGCAAGACGAGGCCGCGCATGACGGAGATAGGCTTGAGGGAGAAAAACCAGGTCTGTCGGAGACCTTCCAAAATATAGATTTCCGAACTAACTGCCAATAAACCCAAGACGAGAAACAAGATGAAGCTCCACCGTAGTCGCGCCATTCGCGACCTGTTAATCGGTGCACGTGGCGTCGTCGAGCCAACCTGAGTGCCAGCCATGTGGCACTATAGCCAACTCTGGACTAACCTGTCCTTGAATTATCTCAACATCAATGGTGGACTTGAGATCGACATTGATTCCCCGAAGTTTCCGGTAACTGGGTCTTGGCGTCGATACCCCCTGCAGAATGTTGGCTGCTTTCAGAAAACACACGCATGTTTCAAGAGTTGTCAACTCCGACTTGGAATTGTATTATATATTGGCGGAATATTTAGTATTTCTACAATGATGTGGAAGGCTCCGGTTGTTATGGCCATGATCCTTCCCCTGGTGTCTGCCGCCCTTGCGGATTTCGCACTTCAAACAGTACTTGACAATACCACTCCAATATTTGGATCATACAAAAAAAGCACAGGAGGAAAAGCGGAATGGATGAAGACATATCCCGACGAAACTTTACTCGTTCATATGAACATCCCCGGCACCCATGACAGCGCCACGTGGAATTATACCCAGGCGACACAAGATGCCCTGCGCGGCATCACAGATCTCAACCAGGTCGATGTTCCAGTACCAGAAGCATTGAGATGTCAGGAGTTATCTTTTCTCGACATGCTCGATATGGGAATCCGGGCATTTGATCTGCGATATGCTTTCGATCCGACAAACTCCACCCTCATCTTCTACCATGCACAGGCGCTGCTCTCAGAGACGGCAACAGTCAATGATGTACTGTTCGGATTCTACCAGTGGCTGGATGATCACCCCTCAGAGACTATCTTCCTTTCATTTCAGTATCAAGGCTCGACGGGCCTATACGCCTCCAACAACGCGGCCGTACAACTGCAACTCTACAATATCCTCACCTCCCCCGCTGCGCGCCACTATTTTATGCAGAAGAAAGACGAATTAGGCACACTGGGCGAGTCGCGTGGCAAGATAACTCTCATGCGCCGCTTCGACCTGGACAAACTTCCGGATTCTTACACAGCCGCACTTCCCGGCCTGCACTTCTCGCCCAGTCTCTGGACCGATAACGGCGCAGATATTACTTTGGTATATAACAAGGCCAAGGGGTTGAGGGCCTACATAGAGGACTACTACCAGCCACTCACACCAATAGGGTCGAGTGCGGTCGAGAATATCAGGTGGAAATACAATGCCACAGTGAAAAGCATTCGGAAAGCTACTAGCCACCATCCGGATAGTCTCTTCTGGACATGGGCGTCTAGTAACAACATAGCAAATGATCCTCCCGATTGGCCTCGGATCATGGCACTGGGAAATGGCACTGAATTTACACCGGATGGTGGGATTAACCAGCAATTAGTGCCTTTCCTGAAAAAACAGAAAGGAAAGCGAGTGGGGATCGTGATGTTTGATTTCTTTGAGGAGCCTTCCAATTTGGTCGATACGTTCTTAGATTTGTAAAAAAAACCATGAATTAAAGAGACTTTGACAGGAAAATAATCAATTACCAAGCTAGTCTTAGAATAAATAAATTTCGAGCCTTAGGGTACACTCCAGTGCACTTCCTCAACCGAATTTGCTTTCCGCTCGGAACTGCTTAAAGAACAGTCGTAGACAGGCTGCTCACAAGGGTCCTTCCCTCATTTATCAAGACGTCGAGTCTCTTTGAACACTACAGCCGACGTTTTTGTCCTTCCGGATCGATTTCCACCAATTGCTCTCTTATTGATGCTTCCTAACAACTTTTAGTTTCACCCGGGTTTTGTCTGGACCACGCGTACTTTTACAATTTCGCGTGGCTCAATACCATCTTGCTTGGACCATTGCCACTCGTAAATTGGCAGGCCCTTCTCTCGTCGTTCTCTGCCATTGATGCTTCAGATAACCCCGCCTGCTGGAAAGAGATATTGGAGGCCGCTGTGGTAGGAGACCGTTAGATCCTCGATTCGCGATATGTTAGGAACAGCTGTTTGATATTCCAGTCAAAGGTAACTCGGAAGAAAGGTAGAAAGATGTGATACCAACACTGCGTGTATCTTTGTGTGTAGTACGCAACTACTGCTTGTGTTTTCGGAGCCAAGTGCTCTTGTAATGTGCCAACCCTGCTCATAGCAGGGTTGAATACCCTCGGTGTTGAGATCATGAGGCACGCTTCCATCTGCTAACAGCTAGGGAACTGGAACCAGCCAAGTGACCTATATTAGAGGCATCTTGGCACGTCGAAGAGGGAGTATTGAACCAACCGGTAGGAGCGATGGTAAAGACGATCATTTCCGTCTGTAACATGAGATAGGTGTCCGAGAATATCGCCCATGCGACCCTTCCCAAATTCACTTGTGCATTGTCCTAATTTGGATTGGACACAACTGCTGTTCAGGTTGTCTACAACAGATGTAAGTGTCCAGATGCTGATCGACGATCAGATAAGATTTACTTCATCTGGGCCCACCTCTCTTTTCGCCAGTGTCAATAAGAGTTGATTGTTTCTTTTTTACATTTGAAGGCAATATGTTTTGCAATTTACTGAGAGAAGCATGATTGATCTATCTACATTAACCCCAGTTGACCTCATAGAAACAAAATGAATGAAAGACAACACCTTGCACAGCAGAACAACGGCTCGCTACAGCGTCAAGTCAGATCGCGATGCCGATCAAACCGGACACAATACCCTTGTCCTCAGCTGACGTCAAGTTCTCCACCAGGCTTTTCCAGTTTGGTATATTGATATTGCGACCAGACAGAAAACCCATCTTCCATGTTTCCCATTTAGATGTATCCAACGAGCACACGAGGCTAGCACAACGGGCAAATTCATGTTTCTCAAGGACGTCCTCCTGATCAAGACAAATGCATCTCCATGCATCGTCCACCTTAGATATATAATCCCAGATGTCACGACATTGGCTGTATCTGATATTGTGCAACGCAAGCCAGCCGGACCGCACCACACTCCAATCAGAAGGTTTGCAGTGGGTTTCCAACTTCTCCCACATCTTCTGTGCACTTCGGATATTGCGAACCATAATTCTAGTGGTGGGAGATAGATTTGTATTAATGATCTCTCTCGCCGCCTCGTTCAAGCTGTCAAACTGGCTTCCCAAGCGATGTGATCGTGGAAGTTCACCGATCTTCCCCTCAACCAAGTCCAACACCATATTCTCGCTCAGAATAAGCCTCAATTCGCGGCGCCAGATGCGGTAATCGGATCGGCCGCGCAGTGGGGGACAGTCGGATTTTATTGGTATTTCATCTTCCCTGAGTGCCCTTCTTAAGTCGAAGGCACGTTCGACTGATATTTCTGTTATGGAAATTGTTCGGGGTATGAGATCCTTGGAGCCTTCGGGCGCGACAGTTGTTTCAATAGGCATTTTATCAGCGAAATAAAACCGGCGCCTTTTTGCGGGCGAGCTTAAGGGTTCCTCTTCTGGGGGCCCTGGCTCGGAGAGGGATCGCTTCACTAATGGTGTTGGAGAGGCCATGCTGTTGATTTTCGACACGGAGGTCTAGCTGGGCAGATAGGAAAGTCTCCAATGAAGGCCAGAGTATGGCAATGAGCATGAACAATGAATGTTGTTTATCCAAGAAGAAGGACCGGGATCTTGATGTACGACGTGGTTACCTAGTAATGGCGAAGAGGGATTCATCCATGTCTCTCAAGGGGCCAATCACTTCTTTATATGCACCAGACAGAAGTGACGGGTACTTCTATGACATTATCAAAAAAGGCTGGGCACTCAAACATGTAGCCCTACATTCCTTGGCAAGTTCACTCCAGAGACAGTTGACATTTTGGAAACATTTTCCCCCTTCCGCACTTCAATTTTGGGTTTATTTGAGCCGATAAACCATAATCTCTCTGTTTCTTGCTTTATTGCCTTTCTTCTTTACGTTTGGGAAACTGCCCATTTGAGATGTCGAGGCCAAGCGCGTCAACCACCCTCCTCCGGACATTATCACCAGGTTAGACGTCATTGGAAAGCGAGAACATATCCAGAGATGTCATACGCCACATGTCAAAGGTTAATCAAAGGCAAGGGCTTGCATACCTGCATCGTACTACTCCGTATAGGGCATGAGAACCACATCAGTTCCCCAGGGGTAAGTACCAACCGTTCTAGAACCTTATTTGCTCTTCCCCATCCTTACATTCCGCGCAACCCTTGACCCTTCCAAGCTCTCTCAGCATACACCCTCACCTGGGTATTACTAGCTCAAAGGACCAACATACCAGCGGCTCAACCACAAATTCAAATTGAGTTACGAAAATAGGAGTCGCCGCCATTCCCGCTTCATATCGAGGTAGCTACCTATTATACACACCCTGGGTAAATGTGCCGGCCAACCCAGTGAAAGCAAAATATACGTTATTCTCAGCTTCGAAAAGCCATTGGAGACCTAGTAAAATGTTTACATCTCGCCTCCAGTTTTCAACTTCAATTTTGTATTCTTTACAGTAGCACTATTAGTATACTCGATTTAGTTCAAACACCAACTATTAGCCTAATAAACTGGTTTCATAACTCATCCAGCGTGTGTTAACAACACCGTCGAGGCTTTTCTGGCAGGAACGTTTCTCTTTTTGCGCCCACTTCAGGAAGGTACGTGGGTTAGGAACATGACTCCCCTCGTTTTTCTTTCTCTTCTCTGCTTCTCTTCTCCTTCTCCTAAGCCTATGATAGTCATATCCCCGGAGCTCTCAATATGTGTCCGGACAACATCAATAAGCTCTTGCTGTATAATCATAATCCACGTGCCGTAGAGCTTGGTAACCTGCACTCTTTACTCTTTACCACAGTGAGAAAAAAAAGCTTAGAAATCGCCGTCTTGGATTTGCTGAAAATATCTCCAAGTTATCTTAGTGAGCCTTGAATTTTTTCGACTGAGCTACAAGGTACCCTGTCACCGATAGCACACTGATAGCCCCAGCAAGCAAAGAGAAATTGCTCAACAAGATTTCCTCCTGAGCATGGCTAACCTTTGTAGGAGCTTTACTCAAGACACGATCGTTACCTGTTCCCTCAGCAATATAGTCCTGCCACTGCACCTTTGAAAGTTCACGGTGATAATCCACCACAGTCCCAGACCAATTATTGGTGATGACCCCGTCGTCTCTCTTATACCAGCTGTTGCAATTTGGATCCGCGAAGCTGGTCTGCCGTAGGACGGCCTGGACCCTATCGTTGTAGCTTTTCAACGCTTCCGGTTCTGGCTTGAGAGCCAGCGTCTTCCCTCGTTGACGGGCTCGCATCACTTCCCCAACCAGGATGTTCAGATATCGTGACTGTGCTTCGATCATGAGGATGATGGAGTTGTGTCCTTTTGATTCGTTAGAATATTGAAAATTATAGAAAAGATGGAATATCTCACCGAGGTTAGTGTTAGGGCCATAGAACATTCCAAAGTTTGGCAAGTCCTCGACTGCAACACCGTTAAACGCCGTGGCTCCATTCTTCCAAATATCCTCCAAGGACCGGCCGTTTGAGCCATAAATTCGGATGGGATGCATGAAATCCGCAGTTTTAAAGCCAGTAGCAAGAATGATAAGGTCGTATTCTTGTTCATCTTCTTCGTCGACTTCAATCCCGGACTCCGTGATACCCGTAATGCCCCGAGTCTCCAAGTGGACATTTTCACGAGCAAGAGTGGGATAATAATCATCTGAACCAATGATTCTCTTGCACCCAGGCGCGTAAGTGGGTGTCAGTGTATCCCATAACTCCGGTCGGTCAGGCAGCTGGGATTTCATCGCGTCGGTACCCAAGGTCCGAATGTAATGAGCGAGGGGCGAATTTCCATCTGTAATGGCTACATAAGAGTCTTCACGGACTCCCATCTGAAGGGCGCGCTTGCGCCAGTGGAGCGGTGGAAACAATCTGAACAGGGCCTTCTGAAGGGTGGATACTGGCTGATCCAGGCGAGGAACGATCCAATTTGGCGTTCGCTGATAGATAGTAAGATGAGAAGCCACTCGAGCAACTTCAGGGGCGATCTGAACGGCAGTTGCTCCTGGAAAAAGAGTCAGTATTGTATCCCGTAGGTTGGATTTCCTTTGTTTGACGTGGAATGCGCACCGTTGCCAATAATTGCGATTCGCTTTCCTGTCATATCGTAACTCCAATCCCACCGGGCAGAATGCATCATTTTCCCTTGGAAATCCCCCAGACCTGGGATTTCGGGTGTCCGGGGTGAATTGAGTTGCCCAACAGCAGAGACAAGCAAATCGGAATTCAAAACATAGGAGCTGAAAAACTCGCTGTCTTTCTGCCCTGATATCAGGACCTTTGTCTTCCACTTGAATTTGATGTCATCCCAACGGGCCTCCTCCACTGTGGAGTTAAATCGAATGTGCTTGTAGAGTCCATATTTCTCTGCAACGCCAATAAGATACGCCTGTATGATGCACAAGGATCAACAATAGTTCGTGTATAGCAAGAAAGATCAAGGGTCACACATATCACTCACATGTATCTCTTCTTGTTTGGGATACTCTCTCGACCAATTAGGGTTCTGTTCGAAGGAATAGCTGTAGAGCGAGCTCCAGACTAGAAGTCATCAGTTGCTGTCACTGCAGATAGAGTATTTTATATTCCATACCATCACAGCAGCAACCAGGATATTTGTTGTCATTCCAAGTTCCTCCTACGCTGCTACTTCTCTCAAGGATAACAAAGTTGTGAGTCTTATTCCGTTTGATCAAGTCAATCGCCATGCAGATTCCTTGAGGAAAAATTAGTTGGAGTTATGTGTCTTGGAGAACTCAGCATACCCGAAATGCCGGCGCCAATAATGACAACAGTAGCTTCGGTGAAATCTTTGTTTCCCACAGGGAGACGTTTGTTACTCGAGGTAGCCATTCTGAATGAGGGTGACTATACACTATCTGAGAGTTGACAAGGAAATAACAGACAGCCCGGAAGATAACCAGAAGTTTCCCCGCAAGCTGTCCAAGTATCAACGCACCGATGAATCACCGGAGGGACCGAGTTTCATCCTCAACCCCTGTAGATTTCTCTGCGGCTCATGTCACAAAGCATGCACAAGCTACTATTCACCCGGAACTCTCGACAATACTGTTGGAAGCGATCTGGCAGACTTGGAAGACACAGATGTGCAAAACTTGATTGCTCGATTAGCTACAATCAGTATGTCAAGATCATACAAGTTTGAATATTTGAAAAGCGGGGAAGCTGGATACCGAGGCAATGCAGCGATCCGACGTTTCAGTCTGCACTTGATAGATAGGCCTCTCTGGGTACTCTATAACAATCACGGGAGTTCGATTCCTTCTTTCTCTGCTGTCTGCAAAATGTATTGCTTGACCTGGATAAGCAAAAAGAATCAGCTATTCCGATCTAAATGAATACCTAATTCAGGTGGGGGGATTACCTTGTCGTCTGGGACGAGCTCAATCGCCAGTTTACCTTCACTGTCTCTCTTTTCCGCTTCTGCTCCAGATTTTAACAATAAGATTGCGGCGGGTCCATGTCCCTCGGAAATAGCATGGTGGAGCGCCGTGAATCCGTCCCCGTCCGTTGCGTTGACAGGACTCTTACCCTCTTCTAAGAGGGCCTTCAAGATAGGCACAGATCCGACTGCAGCTGCTCTGTGGAGGGGAAGTTGCCCACGTTTATCCTTGACCTTGGCGCTACATTTATTGGCAAGCAAGGTGCGGACGGTGGAAAGATTGGACTTGGAGCTTGCAAAGTGCAGCGCATTCTACTGAATAGTAAGTTCAGGTACCCCAAATAGCATAGCATTTGTCTCTCAAATCTGACCTGTCCAGTGTTGCTTTTAATAGAAACGTCAGCTCCTTTTCGCAGTAATAGGTCGATCGTTGCGTCGCCTGCGGCATCTTTTAGGCTAGCTGCAATCATAAGAGGCGTCCAACCAGATCCATCCTATGTTGGTTAGCAAAGATATACGATAGTCGCCAGTAAATAGTAAAAAAGCGTGGGGAACTCCCTTCACGATACTCACTTCTACATCTGGGTCGAAATCCTTCATAGCGACTAGCAATTCTACAACTGGGACTCGGTTGTAGGCCACAGCCCAGTGAATAGGAAGACGCCCATCATCATCTTTCACAAATGCAGATTTTGGGTTGACCTGTTTCAATAATAAGCCTTGTTCTTGAGACCAATCCTAGTGCCAGCTTGAGCTTTGCGGGGCAGCCTCGGTCCCAGGTGGAGCACAACTCACATTGAGCAAAGACTCAACGACCTGGTCTAAAGAGATATATTAGTAAATAGTGCTGTACAATGAAGAATTAAGCTCACTTCTTCCTTCTCGGGCAGCTTCGTGCAGGGCGAACTTCTGATCGGAATCCATGACGACTTTGGAGGATGAAGAGTGATATTGTGATAAGAGCTGCGATAAGCCGGAGTGGATGAGTCAGCGATATTGAGCTCCCGAGCTCCCGAGTCCCGTGGTCCGAGCTCCACCTGCTCGCAGCGAGGACTGCTATATGATTGTCAACCTTGATGATTTTTTCGGGAGGAATTGAAATCTGGGCATACTTGAGAGCCATGGTATATAATATGCATAGAATATATACAATTGTCCTTACACTTTGTGACACGTGAGCTATGAAATCTAGCCTAAGCTATTCAACGTCCTTTTGAAGTATGTTGGAAAGTGTTTAAAGTGCACCATGACTTGCAGCTTAACTTGTGCTAGTGATATTCCGAGCATACGAAAGACATTCGCAGTTGGGACAACCTCGGAGTATTCAAGCTCCTCCTCTTTTCGACGCATATAAAGCATTCGTAATCTACTAGTCTGTTTCTGACGAATTTTATCATTCTGTATTTCTCAATGGTCCGTTGCTTACTGTTTAAGAGTAATCTTGCCGCACTCCATCCACCGTGGTGGATTCACGAGAGCTTCACAAACTTTGCATACTCGGAGGCTGAGGCATCGATACATCACTTGGCCAAGTTAGATAGGCTAGTAGCCCTATTCTAGAGAAGACCGATTAGGATGAAGAGTGAACCAATTGAGTCACAAAGAAATTCGCCCATCCCTATAAATAAGAAGCGTAGGGACGATTACCTAGGTAGTTTCTACTACCTAGTATTGAGAGACGCGATGTGTTCGTGGGCTTGGCACGATTATGTAACTCCTACCAATGACCTCGGAGTATGCCCTCAAGTACACCGCCCTTCAAACTCACCGCCCTTTTGAGCCGGGTATAACGTTGGTCGACTGTTGCGCCTCAGGCACGAACACCCGCTGCAACTTCGATCCAAAGATCCATGCACATACTGTTCTACCATCTTCATTCATATCTTTCCTCTAGCTGCTAGAGACGCAGTCGATCTTCAATTAATTGTGCTTTTAAGACCACTGCCCAGATTAGACTGTCACACTTGATTGTAGTCACGAACCTGCCGCAGGCTTTTTTCGTCGCGCGCACCATCAGGTCGTGATTTTTGGAGCTCCTGTCCTTCGAAGCACACCAACCCATCTCAATCTCTCCACACCAATTCCTTGCGCAAACACAATGGACTACACACCCCAGCCCGTCGACGAGGCCGTGCGCATGTCCGCAAAGCGGACTGCCGAACTCTTCGGTACCGATTACCTGATGGTCACACCTTCAACTCTTACAGATGGCTCAATCGGCGTTTCCTACCGACGGAAGGCAGAGTATGAAGATGTTATGGAGCTACCCCGAGCTCTCGCAGAGAAACAGGCGAAGGCCACAGCGGGCCGGACGAAACGGCCGAAGATTCAGGCGCAGACCCCCGCAGACGGCAGTGGGTCATCTATGTCACTTGTGAGGCGACCGTCGGGAACTGGAGCTGGAGCAGGAGCAGCACCTGCTGGAGAACAGCCTACGAGTTTGATTCAGAGACCGTCGGCCACCAAACAACAGCGACCCGAGTGGCACGCGCCTTGGAAGCTGATGCGCGTTATTTCGGGACACCTGGGATGGGTACGAGCTTTGGCAGTGGAACCCAACAACCAGTGGTTTGCTAGTGGAGCAGGAGACCGGACAATTAAGATTTGGAATCTGGCGACGGGCGCATTGCGACTCACTCTTACCGGTCACATTTCCACCGTCCGTGGCTTAGCAGTGTCCCCCCGGCACCCGTACCTGTTCTCCTGCGGCGAGGATAAGATGGTGAAGTGTTGGGATCTGGAGACCAACAAGGTCATTCGACACTACCACGGTCATCTCAGCGGTGTGTATACTCTTGCTCTTCACCCTCGCCTCGATCTGTTAGTCACTGGTGGTCGTGATGGCGTGTGCCGAGTTTGGGATATGCGAACACGAAGCAATGTACACGTTCTCGGTGGACACAAAGGCACTGTCGCCGACATCAAGTGCCAAGACGCCGACCCTCAGATTATCTCCGGCTCACTGGACTCCACAGTCCGGTTGTGGGATTTGGCCGCTGGAAAGAGCATGGGCGTTCTGACACACCACAAGAAGGGTGTTCGCAACATTGCCATTCACCCCTCCGAGTTTACATTTGCCAGTGCCAGTACCGGCAGCATCAAGCAGTGGATGTGCCCCAGGGGTGATTTCATGCAAAACTTCGATGGTCAGAATTCTGTCATCAACACTCTCGCCGTCAACGACGAGAACGTTCTTTTCTCTGGTGGCGACAACGGTTCTATGTCCTTCTGGGATTGGAAGACTGGTCACCGCTTCCAATCCATGGAAACTACCGCACAGCCCGGCTCTCTTGAAGCCGAAGCCGGTATCATGGCTTCTACCTTTGATCGTACTGGTTTACGTCTTATCACGGGTGAAGCCGATAAGACCATCAAAATTTGGAAGCAGGACGAACAGGCTACTCCCGAGACTCACCCTCTGACTTGGGCCCCAACTCTTGGTAGACAGCGGTACTAAAGGGATGACCAGCATCCCTGTTCGCACCCTCTGTTCAAATTTCTCAATACCCTGTATTCATTTCTTTATTACCATCATGTTCTTGGTGGCACTATGTGGAGTTAAGCGTGGTCTGTGGATGGCCCTTGATTTTAAACTATTCAAACATGTATTGGGAAAAGTTTCCTTGGAAAGGTTCGTTCCATGTCTCCGAAACAAGAGTCTTAACGTTTTGTATGATACAAACCCCAATTGAGCCAAATGATACCCTTGGCAATCGACTCGGTAGACAACACGTACAAATAGCCTCTACGATCTATACAGAAGGCGAAATATAGCTGGACTGAAAGGGTATCATATGCAAACTATTGTGCGATATCACACTAACTCCAGATAATGCGTATCGTATTAAACACCCCCCAAAAAGGACCAATGACCATCACTGGTCAGTACCCAAACCAAAGCCCTTAGCCTCAACATCCTCCCTGAAAGCAGACCTGACGTCTTCAGCCGCAACCCTAAGCCGAACTTTGCTACTGCGGTCACCGCGAGTGGGGATTGTAGTACCACCAAGCACGCTTTTAGAGCCAGAGCCTTGCTCCAGCGCCAGAACACCCGAGTTCATGAGCAACATGGCCGCATGACCCAGGCTGCGCACCCGCGCACTGGGGCCTCCACCCAGCAAGAAATCCTTCACACCGGCGCCAGCGGCTCCAGCAACGGCAACGGCTGCATCGGCAATGCGGCGGGCTTCGTCGAGGACATCGCCGAATGTGGATTCTGAGATGCCTGTCCGATGGACACGAGCTAGTAGGGCGGCGAGGAAGAGCTTTCCCGATAGCGGGAGACAGCGCAATGATTGTTGTAGTGGAGTTGAGGTAGCTTCATGAATGGCTTGCTTGATAGTGGCGATAGTGACGCGACCTGGTTGGCCTTTCGTAGGAGGTTTAGCAGCGGCTGGTTCTCCGGCTGCCGTGGCCGTGGTAGTCTTGTTGCGCCGGGCAGGAGTTTTGCTGGGTGTGGGAGGTAATGACTCTGTCTCGTCTTTGGCCTCATCTGCTGCTGCAGCCTCGTCGGCTGCTTGTTCGGCAATTTCAACGGCTCGACGGCAAATGTCCAAAGCTCTTCGAGCATCACCACTGACAGCGGCTACTTTGCGACTTGCAAATTGGACGGCGTCTGGGTCAACAATATTGCCTGGTACACTGGCCAGACGGGTACTGATGATTTCCATTAGATCTGTGTGACGGTATCCCGGGAATGTGATACGGGTTAAACCGAGACGACTGGAGATCTTGTTGCTTAGGGTTCTTTCTGGAAGATCCATGGTATTTGCGACAGCCAGGACAATGAGGCGTGAGTGACGGAGGGCAGGCCAATTGAAGAAGTTATACATCACAGACTGATTCTTTGTGACAAGCTGATCCAATTCGTCCATGAGCACAACACAAGAGACCCGACGAGGGGAGGGATTTGAGAATTCTCTTTCGAGAAGATCCAATGCGTGGGAAGGTGACACTCGGTCGCCCTTCAAGGCTTCCCATAGCAAGGAGTATGATTGATGCGGGTCGGTCACTTTCATGCCGTTAATCTCGACAAAAATAAAATCGTCCATCTCTTCTTCATGTACGGCACCGTTTAGCTGTGCAACCACCTCACGCACTGTGGCAGTCTTGCCAGTACCAGGGGTACCGGAGATATAGATACAAGCGCCTGTGCCTTCCATGATCGCAGCGCTAAGATGATTGTATACAGTGTTGAACTCGGTCTTCCGGCACGGTAATGAGTCTGGGACAGTGGAAACGTGTAGCAAATTCCTCGCTTGACGGTAGGGAGAGTCAAAATGGGTGGGCGATAGGACGCGGGTACCCAGAGGAGTAAACTCAAGCGGCTTTTTTACGACAATCCTGATACAGTCAGTTTTGTTTCATGGGCAGCACTTTCGATATTTCCTACCGTTTATGGGTCGGAGTCATTAGGGCCTTTTTGCGCTGTGATTGTGGCGTTGCAGTCGTCGCTGCTAGTCGCTGTCTCTTTCTCGGCGTTGTAGGTGCAATTGTCTCTTTGCTCTCTTTGGTATCGACATACTGTGATGAGCTAGTCAGCACTATTTTTGCAATTGAAACCATGTGGTTCAACTCACCTCATCGTCCGCAGCCTTGCGTTTCCTGGAAGCCTTCAAGCCATCCCTGACCCAATCGATCAGATGTTGGATGTTATCTTTGTTGTACACCTGCTCCCAGACAAACTCATCGGTATACCGCCCTTGAACCTGGTTTACACCTCGTCGACAGACAATACACTTGTTGTATTCCGCTAATTCGGTCTTGTTCTTCGGAGGACCATTCGGGTATTTCGCACTGAAGGCGCTCCGAGACATGACCATTCCTTTGCCACTGATTGATGTCAAGGGGTTGCTGTTGAAATCGAGAGTGATGTATTGCTCGTTGGACAAGGCGTCGGTCCGCCGCTTGTTTCTCGTGCCCATGAATTCGTCGGGGGATGCGAACCACATAATATTGGCAGATTTGACAATCTCGTCTTCTTCATCTTCATCCTCCTCTTCCAAGAATTCTGTGATGATGCCAACCCAGTCCTTTCCAGCTTCAGGGGATTTCAAGAGAATCACATCGCCCACTTTGCATTGGAATTGACCCATCTGTGCGCCAACGATTTTGCGTTTTTGTCGGGCGGGACGAACAGAGAGTCTTCGGCTACGTTTCGCGGGGGTTTCATCGTTGGTCCCAGTTTCCTGGGGAGTCTCTTCATTTGTGTCGTAAATCCAGTTCCACGGAAGGTCCTCGACGCCTAGTTCATCATCGGAATCGTCTCGAACCAGAGCTCCCTTGGTCATCCATTGGGCGCGCTCACGGGCGTTGCGCCTGTGCGAAGAGTCTGAATCGCTATCGCTCATTGGGGATGCGAGAGATGCTGGATAGAACATCGACGGAGAAGGAGAAATCGCGGTCGACGCGTCCACTTTCGTCCCTTTTAGGCTTAGTTCCAGCAAGGAGGTTCGACCAATCAAATCCATCAAACTCATAGTAAGATAGGGAGGTATAAACTACATATAGATGTACTCCATGTACAATATGCTTGCAACTGATCCGTTATATGTATTGATTTAATTTAGTTCTTGTTCAAAAGATACCACTCAGCTTTGCAGTACTATTATCAAACCATCAGTACGTTTCCGTCGCAGCATCACCATATGTATGTTGTAAATTGGATCTCATCCAATTTATACGGCTGTACTCCTTTGCTACACCAAACTTGTAGCATGATTAAATTATGCGGTAGACTGCGTTACACTGTTTGCGCTTCCCTGAACATTTCATTTTTTTTTAACCTGTTGATGCCTTGGACAATTACAAAAGTTGTTAGGTGCAAAGAGCTATCCAAAATCTAGCGTTGACCATGGTGCACTCATTGAATGTGGTGATGAATAGTCTAATTCACCGCTTCGGAATTTATACGACCCGGAGATGTAGGAATATCTACATGCCGCAGCCCTAACATCCACTTCAATCCAAGGTTTATATACTCTGTGCTCCCTACGAAATTTGCTTTAACTTGATTTCTCACTATGTAACGGGTAGATCTCATCAATCTAGCATGAAATGAAATATACCTCATTTATACTTCATAGTAAAGCTTTTACTACAAGAATTATGTCCATGCTTCCTATGGAAATATTCATTCGCGGGCCTCTTGGTCCGTCAATATCCTCTCACACTACAGAGAAATGCGACTAGTTCGATGTCCTTCATGTCTACATGCACCTAGACAGCCTCTAATGTATACGTAGTATCTCATCAGTAACCGCGTACGGTTTCAATGATGCTCTTACTCCGTTATTACTTCTCCTCATAAGAAGCGACACTTCAGGCTTACCTCGTCGGCTCTCTCTTTCCCCGTTCCCACCTTCCTCGACGCATATCGCCGACAGCCGGCCTGCTACTTCCCGAGGTCGCCTGCTCAGTTGGTCGGCCGGGCAATCATACTTCCCTCAGATACTTCGCACTTCCATTGGGAAGAAGTAGCTTGCGTCTGTTTCTTTATCTCACTTACCCGTTTAATATTTCTGAGATACCCCGTGTTGCCTCCACCAGCTTCGCTCATTAAAGCCAATCCATCTTGTGAGATACCGCTCTACCCATTGAGCGCTTGTGGCTTTCTGATCCCGTTGAAATGGCATCTGTACCCCAGTCCGATGAGGAGTAAGTGTATCCCGTGCACGAGTCTTGCAAGCAAATTCGCTAATCGATACCCCTAGCTGGGAGCGTCTCAATGCAAAATGTAAGAGAACGTCTGCTTTCGATTATGGCCGTATATGCTGACTTTGATAGCGTGGGAGCTACCGAACTACGGTCCCGGTCCAGATTTCGGCCGGGGCACTATCTACCGTCAGCGTAATGATGAGAACGTTGGAAACAAAGGTCCTGATTATGACAAGGATTTCGATCCCGAAGGGGGTGCGTCTCTCAAAAATATCAAGTATGAACACCCTTCGGTCCATTACTACCGCAACACCCAAGCTTAACAGTGCCTGTAACTGACCGATTTCTTGCAAGTGTACCTGCTGTGCCTACGAAAACACCAACTCCGAGTCAAAGTCCCCTTTCGACCCAGCCAGTTATTACCAGACCTAGACCAGGTCGAGTTCAGGCACTTGAGGGACCAATCCTCAATGAGCGTGGGCCTAATACCGGCCCTTCAAATACATTCGAAAGGCCGAGTTATTCAGCACGTAGTACCAAATTGAACCCACGTACAAATCCCCGAGGGAAATATTTCGACACACCACGATCACAGTTTCAGTCAAAGAAAGGTAGTGCTATTTCGACTCCCTCGCAGCACAGAGTTAAGAGCCCCCCTACCGGGCCAGGGCAAAATGACTCTCACTCCAAGGCCAGGTGGCGCAAGGGCTTGGCCCCAGATGGTAAGTATGCTCATATAAATCACAAATCCAGTATTAACCGTCAACCAGCTTCTTTTCGTCTGCCTTATGAGTGTCAGGTATTCCAAGAAAAGTGAGTATATAAAGCTTTGCAGTCGTTAATCTCAGAACTAACCCAGGCACTGAAGGATCAGACAAGTAACTACAGGACAAACTTCCAATATCGACTTCCGCCAGAGAGTTATTGAGGATACAGGTGCCTATGTGCGGATGAGCCCAGGAAATGCCAAAGTTAGTTGCTCGCTAAAAGCCCCAGTATGTGGCAGACTCAGAATACTAATGATCCTTCAGCTCGTTCACATCTGGGGCCGGGAAAAAGATGTTTTGGAGGCCCAGAATATGCTCCAGGATATGGTGAACCGGCTAATGCGCCAGCGGACTTTACCTAAAGCATCGCGTTGGGCTAAGGTACACGCACATTCAATCACGAAGGCTGCCCATGCTCGCTCGAAGGAAAGCTACGAGGAAAGATTGGATGAGATGCGAAAGCCACCAAAGCTCGCCACAGATTACACAGTATGGATAAAATCATGATGCCCCTCGTTTGTGCTTGGTACTTTACGAAAACTAACCCTTGACATTGCAGCTTGCTTTCCTCTGGCCAGCGGATGGCCCCTCGCTCAATTACTTTGTTACTGCTCGGCGTGAGGTCCTTGATCACATTCGCCTGAAATATGACGCGAATATCTACATCAGACCTGGTATCCCTGACTGCCTTTTCATGTCTGGAAATAATGAGCGAGATATGTGCATTATTGCATCTCGATTTCGAGAGCTGTGGGAGAGACTAATGGTCCAACAAGAGACGGAAATCAAGATGTTCCTCAATGCGGCACCCCGAGTGGAGCTTATGAGAACTCACGTCGTCCTGCAAAAGGCTAGTGGACTCTCAAGACCTGCTCTGTGTGGACCGGAACTGGCTCCAGAAGTAGCCGCGACCTGGAAGGACACTGCGGCGGAGATCAAGCGCAACAACAAGATTACTGTCACTACACGCCTTAGGCAGGCACTTCATGTCATTCCCCAATTTGGGGGATTCCTACAAATGCGAGCAAAATTTGGTTCGTTCGTACTACAACGGTGGCGCAAGCCGAATGATGGTATTTCTTATGAGTTCTCAGAGTTTCGCGAGATGCTTAGCCATACGAACACCGAGGGACGTTTGCTTCCTGGGTATGTTATCACATCCAGGGGAGTCTGATGGTTCACTGACTGACATATATTTTAGAATCGGGCTGCAGCAGGAGGAAATCTTTGAGAGAATTATGAAATCGAAATTCCTTAAGCCCTGGGGTCAAGCTCATATCACATCTCTACCGACGCTGATGCCTAGATATTCCGCTAGCTTTGAGTACCAAGTGAACAATGATTCGACGATTCGCGTGGAAGCCAAGTTCTCTCTTCCACTTGGGTCGCAGGAGTTTGAAGTCAATGGAATACGTTGTTACAAAGCAACACAGATCGGTGCTCCTGTTGATCGTCAGATGCCAATGCAGATCAGCATGATTGACTTTGAAAGGTTTGCTCACTCAAGATCCTCTCAGAACTTGAATGGAAGCTAAGTTTGAGTTTAGATCCGACTGGCAACTCGAAGTGAAGGCTCTTGAACTCTGCCCCGAGAAGGAGATAACCCCCGAGCTAGACAGATTTACGCGTTCTATCGGTTTCCAATGGAACCCAAGTGTAAAGAGCATCGGATCTAAACCCCAGCGAAAGGCAAGGTTTTCCTTTGGTTCCCCAGTCAAGCACTTCGTCGAGAAGGCCGCGATCCAGCTCCAAGTCAAAGACTCGCCGCATGTATTCGAGCTCGCTCGCTTTGACGAGTACACGTACGCGGCTGGTCACTGGTCGATGGCCCCCAAAGTTACCTGGGGTGCATCGCTGTTCAATCCTGATTGGGATGATATACTAGGCGAACAGGTTGAGGTTAGGGCTGACGATATTTCCAAAAACGGGTGCCTGTCGGTGTTCTTCCCCCAGCCGGGGGTTGATCAGGAAGCGACGGACAATGAAAAGCATAAGACAGACGATGAGATTCGCAAGGAGGCTGAACGACGAAAGATGGCCGAGGAGGAGCAACTGGGCCTTTTCATGAGCACTGTCCAGAAGGTCGCGCGGATGCTGGGAAATCCTGGCGGCGAGATGTCCGATGCCCTTGAGACTGATCTTGGGAGTCTGTTCTAGTCGACGCCAGCCAAATCCCAAGTTGTGAGAGCCTGTGGAAGGACAATGACCAAATCAAAGAAAACGCCCCCAAAAAAGACGGAAAACGACAACAAATAACCAAAAAAAGAGGAAAAACAGAGACAACAACAGGTATCACTACCGTCTGGCTTGCTTATCAAGCCGAGATGCTTAGGTATGTAGAAATAATGAGTTTAGTTCATATTTGAGGTTATTCCTGGTGTCCAATGTCGGAGAATTGCTTAAATTTTGGATTCGTGACCCATTCTCGTTCTCCCTCTTATACTTCATATCCAGGTTGTTCCCAAATTGTGATAAAGAAGGGTTATAATTTTTTTGCGGTTTGTCTATGGCGAGTCACGCTGGCCTATTCGTACCACCTGGGTTGAATTTAGCCCGCAGGGGCCTGAGGGGCACCCTCGGCAAGCATCTTCTGCCTCAATGCTGTAGGAGAGAGGTTAGCAAACCAAAGAATAGGGCCTCGTACGGCAATAGAATTTCAGACTCCTTGTATCAAGGAAAGGAACAAACTCACTCTCTTCCACAATACGCAGTTGCGAGCTCTTGGTCTGTACAATCTTCTCCAACTCCTGCAAGTTTCCCTCCAAGCCCTTGACCTTTTCGTCATAGAATGCTACCGCCTTAGGCGCAGTCTGTACAGAAGCAGATGGTCAGCCCCAATCGCCGCAATATCTAGACATATCCCCTCTGTCACCAACCTTCTCGACATAAAATCCAGTTCCAACATCTACAAGCACCTTCTCGCGATCTGTCAACCGGCCTTTGACGTACAGCGAGCTAGTAAGAGGCACGAGGATCTCATCGCGACCATCAGTTCCCTTCTTCTCGTTTCCAATCACGCCATCATTGATTGAGCGCACACAGTCGCGGAACTTGGCTTGGGCGGCGCGCAGCTTCGTGTGCGAGGTGGTCAGGTGTTCGAGTTCGGAGGTGAGGCGAGTTTGGAGGGCGCGGAGTTGAGGAACGGAGAGAGAGGCGAGATTAACTGATTCGGTATTGTTAGCTGGGATTTATTTCCATATGGCACGGAGAGCCGGATGCGCTACAGTGTCATCTTGATGTTGGGCGATTGGAGACACACTTTGGCCTTGGGGGGCTCCGTCCGAGGAGTTTTGTGACATTTTGAGATGGGGGAGGGGGAGAAAAGTGGAGGATGGATTTTGTTATTGCAGATCAGGTCCTCGCATTGGGACTGTATAAGGACTGTATAGGTGGTGGGGGGAGCTTCAGAAAACTGCTGGGTCGCATGCGTGGCGATAGTGGGGTTAAGCATGGGCGGGCGGATTAATTGCGAGTTTTGGTTATATGCACGCACCTACATCAACTTCCCAGGTTATACCATATCTTCAATAACCAATGTCTTGTGTTAAGCTTCTACCTTCTAGCCCTTCTAGCCCCATAGTAGTCGGAGTCTCCAGTCTGTCAAAATGGAAGTCGTTGACCTTCCGTCCTGTGTCCAAAGTCCCTGCTAAGTAAGAAGTCATTTTGCGGGGAAATTCATACTCCGATGACCGTGTTCTCCGCTCCGCTCCGTAATCCTTCTTTACCACAATGGCTTCGAGACTCGCAGCATGTGAAGCTTGCAGGAAAGCAAAGGTCGCCTGTGATCATAAAAGACCGGCATGTACTCGATGTGCGAGTAACGATAGAGCTGGAATCTGCCTTTACCGAACCACACCGTTTAAGAGAAAAAGAGTGGACAGTTCTACATCTTCGCAATCTCCCAGGTATGTGATTCATATAAGTATCTTCTAATTTTCACAGACTTAATCAGCTCTGCAGTCGGCTACCCGCGGCTCAGCCATCTTTCACTCCAAGGAATAATCCCTATCCAAACCCCGGCTTTCTGGGATCATCCAGCCATGTCGCTATCTTCAACGAAATTTCCCCGCAAGACTATCATGCATCAGATACCTACCATGCCTCTGAGGACCTGACGATGCTGATGCAGTCACAGTCCACTGGTGAGAATATCTTGCTAATCCAAGGCGCAGATATTCTCAGACAGCTGTTAAACACATTTCCTTTAGCTGCCATGAAGGATTTTGTTACTTTTTGGCTGGCAACGGGAGCGAATTTAGCTCTGGCAGAGCATTTTACGGAAAAGTGTACTGAAAATATGACGCGCTTATTCACGTCCTTCTCACAAGAGGACAACTGGCATTTGGCATATGCCCAACGCCTTACACAAAATTCCCGGGAACCTTTGCTGTTTAGTAGCACATCCGATATGGAAGATTTCTCTGCGCAGTTTCTCGACCAGAAATTCAGATGGGAAAGTTTAGGCATCTTCCTTTCTGCTGTGACCCGAGCTTCGATCGATATATCATTTTTCCCGACATTGTTCAAAACCGAAAAGGATCAATTTATGCTTCGGAAGCTATCTACAAAGCTCAGCGATCTTGCGTTAGATATTGCACTCTCGCTAGACTGCTTAAATGACCTACAGCTAGTTCTACAGTATGAGAACTTTATTGTACACACCCATGTTGATGGGGACCAAAGTAAGAAAACTCCCTTGATTGTGTGTGTACAAGCTTGTAGCTCATTGAGAATTCAGGCTATCATTCATGGAGTAGACTTGGAGACGTTATTTCGTCCATGTTTGCACTCGGTTACCACGAGAATGTCGAAAAGACCAAGCCACCAATACCGACTTTTCTTGTGGAATTGCGAAAGGCGGCATGGGCCACCACATATTCAGCGGACAAGAACGTGGCTATATTCCTTGGTCGGCCACCTCGGATGAGCAAGCGATTCTGTCATTTTCAACTACCCATGACCCCAACAAGTTCGGATCAGGTTGCGAACACTTCACCCGTCGAAGACGAGGTCGTCAGATGGAAAATAGATACACCGGTCTGTTATAGTTCCGGTATTCGGTGGGCGACCCTTTGCGCTGCACTGAAAGAAGATCTGCTTGAATTGCTTCGATCTAAGCAGCGCCCGAATTTTGACCAGGAAGCTAGGTAAGTTGAAGCTCTTTACCATTGGGAGGTGGGATGGCTGGCTGACGATAGCGGTTGACATAGCATGATTCGGCAAAAAGCCGAAAGTCAATGGGCAAACCTACCTCCTCGCTTTCGACTTTCGACCGCATTGAAAGAATGTTCTGGGGACTCATTCGAACGCGCTTTTCTGGCTAGCATACGCCTGGACCAGCTTCATGTTCTCTTTTTACTTCAACTGTCGCTTCTCAATACTCTGACCGAGCCCGACCCATCGATTCTCGACATCTCAGATCAGATGCTCGCTCTTGTAGTGGAGACGATTCTTCTGCGAGACCAGCTGGTCAACTCTGGAACGGGACTTGTCTGGAAGGTAATTCTACCCATCTCTAGGTTCCGAACATCTCATTGTTGGACTAATACCCTATTAGATCGCCCACTACGGACTCCCGGCTGCAGGGATTATCCTTCTTTCAATGCTGAAACAGCACCGCACATTAACCGAAGGCAGATCTTCATGGTCCAAAACAATACTCAATCTTGGTATCTTTGTTGCGCAGGTTCAGGTGGGTAGCGTCGTTCGGCGTGGACATCCAAACTACGCCTTGATATCCAAAGCCACACAAACTATTGAGAGATTCCTTGATTCTATACACCGTGAAGGGATACAAACCCCGACACAACTGCCATCACATCCAGTGGAGAATGGTGATTGGGCTGCATTTTTCAGCCAGGATTTGTGTGACTTCGAGACTGACTTTTGGGAGAACCTCGCGTATCATCCTTCTTTGTTGGCTTTGGACCCTAGCTTGCCTTCAATATAGTGAATGAGAATAGAATAATATCAGAAAGAACAAATGTCAAAAATATTAATTGGTCAGGTCAGGATATAGACGAACGATTTCTCCACGTATTTGGAATATAGGATGCATGCATGCATTATGAATCCTGGGCGACCCAGGGTATACTGAAAACTACAATCGCACATGAAATTGCTTGAACAACCCGTGCACAATTCCATATAAAGAAGGACCTCCTTAGCATCGATACTTATTTGATGAAGGCAGAATCAAGGGGTATACTAGAAAGAAAATTGACGAAGTGCAAAATCTTTGGATCCGTTATACAATACACAAGAACTTATATGTGGCAATTTAGACGCAAATATAGGTAAATAAAAGGGCAATTAAATCATGACGGCTAGCTGAGACTCCTCACTAACTGGAATACTCAGGTCAATTTGCAATGTGACTTGGAATCTTTCTATGAAGTACAGGATACTGTGATATACGTGCATAGATGGCGGAATTGTGTGTCTCAGCATTGTTTAATGGAACATAGAAAGTAAATCGGTGGTGAACATTTGCTACATCTAGTAATCGAGGGTTGAAAATGCTACTGCTATTCATTGAATATTTAAGTAACAGATTAAAAAGTAACAGATCAGATATAAATGTGATGGTACTATAGATTTTAGGTCACTTATATGCCTCCAAACTCTTCTAGAGCTTCCTGTGCTTTTTCTGTTAAGAATCCATACTCACATCCTCATTCTGGCCTTCCTCTTCCTCTTCTTCCCCTTTTTCTGTCCCCTTTCCTAATTCTACCTCTACCTGTTCTTCTGTGTCCTCTTCTTCCTCTTCCTCAACCTCAGGTAGAAGTCCAAACTCAACCCCAAACTCATCCCCACTGCCATATGTTGTCTCATTCTCATCCTCACCTTCACCTTTCTCGGAAATCTGCCCCGCATCCTTCATTTCAACATCTGAGGTATTTGCCTGCTCTTCTTCGGGTGTTTGGCGACTAAAAACAGAGAGATATTGTCGCACCTTAGCACCCCACGCCTGAGTTTCAGGCTCAATAGTCTTATCCTCAACCTTGTGATTGTAAGGCTTATAACCATCTCGCATCCAAATGTCACCATCACCATCTATGCTTCTCTCACTCTTATTTGAGCTTGAATCACTTAGATTAGTGAAGGTTGTCCATTCTGCCTTACCTTCTGAAGAATGAGCAGTGCGCAACTTCTTCTGTGGTTGGGGATCCTGTTCATCCGTACTTCGCTTTTTATTGGCCTTTTTGGTATAACTTTCCAGAACGCCCGGCTCAATACGGGGCGGAGAGGGAGCTGCCATTGCAGCGAGTATGTCATCTTGTCTTGGTCTATCGTCAGCTACAGAGCGACGGGAAACATATCGATCATTATCTGGAGGGCTAATTAGAGGGGCAATCTTAGGGCCAATTCCAGTAACAGCTGGACGGGCAGGTCGAGGGATTATTGGAGGGGGAAGGAAACGGCCAGGTGGAGGGAAAGGAAGGGAACTAGGAGCGGGCGGAAGAGATTTCGGTGAAGATACGCTGGGAATTCGTGCAAGGAGAGCATCATTCGGCTCAATAACAGGAATCGTAGGAGAAATATAAGGAAGAGGAGGAATGTGACCAGGAGCTGGAGCAGGGGCAGAGGATACGGTGGGAATTTGTGCAAAGAAAGGATCATCTGCCTCGATGTTAGGAATTGTAGGAGAGATAGGAGGAAGAGGAGGAATATAAGCAGGAGCTGGAGCATCAGCATGAACTAAGGCAGGAGCTGGAGCAGGAGCAGGAGCAGGAGCAGGAGGAGGAGGAGTTTTAGTCTTAGACTTAGCCCTAGCCTTCCGTGGATTTTCTGTCTTACTCTTACCCTTAGGACGAGGTCGACGAGAATTATCACCGGAACTGTCAGAAGCATCCTTAGCAATTGCGGCCGAGGCGGCTTTGGCAGCAGCTCTCATAGGACGTCCATCCAATCGAGCCGGAGCAGGTGCAGGGGCAGGGGCAGGAACAGGAGCAGTAACAGGAGCAGGAGCAGGAGCAGGAGCAGGAACAGGAGCAGGGGCAGGTGCAGGTGCAGGGGCAGGAGCAGGGGGGGTTATAGCCAGCACGATAAGTAGGATAGGCAGTGGCACCAACAGCCTGGCCAGCATAAAATGTAGGATAGGCAGGATCGTAGTCTCTCCATGAGGGGTCACAGAGGCGGTAATATCGAACAACATCCCACATACGATTGGCAAGCTCGGTTGGATCTGGGACATGAGCACGTACTACAGCTGGAAAATCAGCATACCTACTGGTAAACCTTAGTTTGATCTCAGCTGTATTTCCACCTTTGAACATTGCGTTCCAATCAGTTCTGCCCTGGAGATGGACAAAATCGTAAACCATAGGGTTATAGATCTCTCGGGTCAGGTTGATGACGGCCTGCTGTTCTTGGCGACCTGTGTTGATATCGATACCAAGTGCTGCGAAGAGAAGATTTTCATTCTTACGGGGCATGCGGGTTCTGAACTCAAAGGTCACCCGAGACATATTGGGCGTGTTAACTGTTGAGCTGTTAGATTGCTGGATTCGAATAATTGGAATGGTTGTGAATGATATACTTGCGGTGGATTCCGTCGATTGTTAAATACTCGAAAGTGTTGTGACTTGAGAGGTTATTGTAGGCATGCTCACTGTATTTTGAAAGACACAAAGGAAGACATTGTATTCCAAGAACACCCTTTTTAGAACAAAGCGATGCATTGACAAGATACTGAGACAATGCAAATAAGGTCTTTATCAACCATGCGCTAATCAAGGATATCGCTTTCAAGCTACTGTTTATTATCACAAACAAAGAAAGGCAAAGGTAACAAGTGCCTGAAAATCACTAGAACCCAGAATTAGAAACAAAATGGAACAAACCCACTTTTGAAGCAAATACACGCATCGGGTTCATCTTTGTCTCTGGCGATGTTGATCTATACACCAACTACATCACATTTCCCATACAACATATCAAATGATAGACTTTTTGTACATGTCTACTATCATTACTGCGTATGTCTCTGATAGAACATTGAGCTTGATTAATAGTTGCCTAAACAGCAAGTTGATGGGGAAATACTGATATTGAAAACGTTTTCTCGAGAAATAGAGAACATCTTCGAGGTCATGATAAAGTTGCCTTGTGGAGCTCGAATGGCATGGCACCCGGCAAGCATATATGATTAGGTAATCTCTTAGGGGCCCTGCGCCTGGACTGAGAGATTCGCCTTAGGACTTGTTGCGTTATGATTCCGCCCAATTGACTGTATTTTGTTCTGGTTATGTTTCCAATCCACCGGACGGTCCTGGATGAATGCAGGATTGGAGAACATAGAGATTCAGCGTAATCTGTATACTTTATAAGATACAAACTGATATTTTCGGTTCTTACCGCGATCTGAAATCGTCCTTTGGTGTTATTTTTGAAGACAGCGGTGGTATGAAGCGGATCATCACACCCATGCTACTTGGGGGTCTGCTTTGGAGTCAAGAAATGACTCGGTGCTTCGGAAGTAAAGAAGCAATACCGCCACTGGGCCCCCCGACTATTCCAGTCTAGCCATGGTATACTTGGCTACACCGCGACTCCAGTGAAACTCCAGTGAAGCTGATTTTGCCTTCCCACCAAAGACCCTGTGTGTTATTTTATTCTCGGGTTTGGGCCGAGGGTGGGTCTCGTGGATCCACTCGTAATACAAGCAAGAGAGCAGGGCCTTGGAGACTGAACATCGCTGTCTGCCTCGAGGGCCAGGATATCGAGGTATCACTAATGTCTCTCGGAGTGTTCAAGGCGCAAGGCAACCATGCACCCTGTCAGACCACTTCCCATGTGGGCACGTATAATGATATGTACTCCGTTTCAAATGATGCCCGGGCGCCGACTTGAAATATTAGCAATGGAACTCAAGGGATTTAATCCCTCAGACAATATTTAAACTTCCATGCTAGTTGTATATATATGTGCTGATCAAGAGAGTCTGAGCGAATTTGCCAAGTTGAGTTGCTTTCGCCCACTTGGCCCCCAAAGCCCCGTACACGGGTATATCCGACGCTGACTCCAGTGGTATCTCGTACTCCGTACAAGCTCATCATAAGCAGTCGGAAGCAAACGGATTTAGCCGATGCGCAAACGTAGAGTCAGCCACACATGTGGGAAAGACCATGAAACACATCATACTTGCTACATGGATGTAACATGTCGCATGACTCCAAGGAGGCCAAGGCTTGGCCCTAAACGATCATCCTGCTTTTCCCCCGCATACGCTTTGACGCAGACAATCCACGATGGTAGTGTAAGTATTGAGTCAGGGGTTATGAAGTCGGAGAATTTTCCTACATTCTTGATCACCTCACTATGTATGTACTCCAGGCTCTTTTTTGATCTACATGGGCGCCCGAGCTTACCAATGTAATATTATGGCGTGCCGTGGCTCGTATGCTAGGATCCCTCTTAGAGGCTTAGTGCTGACGGGTGGTATAATATGGCTGTTCTTGGACAAAGCCACCAGTTCACTTTGGGGCTGATCTGCATATGAGCTCACCCCACGGGGAAGTTTGTGCTCTTTTTATATGGGGGAGCCAATCTTCCCCCCCAATTTTCTGGGCAAACTCATCTCCTGAATCTGAAAAGTAATCGAAAAGCTCTTCATGGATCAAAAAATCAACCCGACCCCCCCTCATTATGAGGATGTGGTCAATCCTAAGAAAGAGCCAGATGAGGGCGCCAATCCTGATGCGCCGGAGCGCCGCCAGGCCATCGGTATCAACATCGTTCAGAATCCTTTGATGGTAAGTCAACAACTGAGAACTTGTGAATCTTTCATGGTCTCGAGCATGATCGCTGACTATCTTTGTGTCCACAGCGCAGCTCCCAGGCGCAAGCTATCATCGATGCACGAGCGTACGCCGAGTCGCACGGTATGGCCGAGCACGCCGAGCTATTTGGTCGGGCTGCTGTGGTTGCGCGGAACCCTCAAGACTTTGCAGCTTATGATGGACTCAGTGACGAGGAGCGCACTGCGCTTGCATACGAGAGGGACCATAAATGGCATGGCCCGAAAATGCTGTGGTACTCAATCGGTCTGTGTGCTATCGGAGCCGCCACACAAGGATGGGATCAGACTGGATCCAATGGTGCCAACTTGTCCTTTCCAAAGGACTTCGGTATTGACGGTAAAGGGAAGGATGAGTGGATCGTGGGAATTGTTAACTCCATTATCTTCTTGACCGCTGGTCTTGTGTGAGTGTAGCACCGGTGATGACATCCTTTGTTCCACGCGACTGACCTTGTACATAGTGGTGCTTGGATTGTCGATCCACTGAACCACTATCTTGGTCGAAAAGGCGAGATTTTCGTTACTGCTCTCTGTCTCACTGCAACACCAATTGGCTCTGCCTTTACACGGACATGGCAAGAGCTCTTCGCGGCACGATTTATAATGGGTATTGGTATTGGCGCAAAGAATGCTACAGTACCCATCTACTCAGCTGAGATGGCTCCTGCCAGAATTCGCGGTGCTCTTGTGATGTTTTGGCAACTTTGGGTTGTAGCAGGTGAATATCTCTCATCCTTTGTCTAACGACATAGCTAACCTCCAGTGCAGGTATTTTCTTGGGCTTTGCCGCCAATGTCATTGTCAAAGACGTCCCAAAGATCGCTTGGCGCCTCCAACTCGGTTCCGCATTTATTCCATCATTGGTACTCGCTGCTGGAATTCTTTTCTGTCCTGAGTCTCCCCGCTGGCTTATGAAGCATAACAAACACGCCCAAGCATTCAAGTCGATGTTGCGCTTGCGAGCTCATCCGATTATCGCCGCGAGAGACTACTATTATTCATACATTATCTATGAAGAAGAACTCAAGGAGGCTCGAGGCGCAGGTTATTTCTCCCGTCTGTGGGACTGCTTTGCCGTCCCGAGAATCAGACGTGCCAACTATGGTGCCTCGACTGTGATGATTGCGCAGCAAATGTGCGGTATCAACAGTAAGTTGTGTCCCATCTTGTGAGAGTACCAGTAGTAACATTGTTTTAGTCATTTCATTCTACAGCTCAACGATCTTCCTGGATGCCAAATTCTCAGAAGACCAAGCCTTGTATGCGTCTCTTGGCTACGGTGCTATCCAGGTCGTGGCCACCATCCCTACCTTGTTTTTAATTGACACGAAAGGCCGAAGAACCCTGACTTTAGTTGTAAGTAATTCCGGAATTTCTGGCAGGATATTGCTGACTATTGTTCTTGCGAAGACCTTCCCCTTGATGTGTATCTTCCTGCTAGCTGCTGGTCTTTCTCTTTTAAATAAAACAGAGAGCCAGGCCGCGAAGATTGGACCAGTTGCCTTGTAAGCTTGGTAATCTGTTCACTTTATTTGGGCATACACTGATTGATCTCTTCATCTAGGTTTGTCTATCTGTTTACTATTGCCTACTCCTTAGGCGAAGGGCCAGTCGCTTTCCAATACTCGGCTGAGGTATTCCCCACTATTCAGCGAGAACAAGGAATGGCGTGGGCTGTTTGCATCAACAACACCTTTGGTGGGTATTCAAAACATTGAAAACACCGAATATTTGATTAACAAAGACTTCTCTAGCTGGTATCCTCGGTCTAACTTTCCCTCGAATGAAGACTGTAATGACCCAAACTGGTGCTTGTAAGTTGACACTCCTGGTTAATGGTGTTCAAACGGCTAATCAACCGATCAGTTGGATTCTATGCCGGTCTTAACCTGATCGCTTGGTTTATGATTTTCTGCTTTGTTAGAGAGACTAAGCAGCTGACTCTGGAAGAACTGGACCGTAAGTCAAGTCTCCAATTGAGGTACATGATCATACACTGACATAGATTGCAGAGGTCTTCGCGGTACCAACTAAAAAGTTCATTCATTACGAACTGACTGTGTGGCTTCCTTGGTGGATCAAGCGATATATCTTCAGAAAGAACATTGCCAAGCCACCACCCGTTATTGCACTGGGCGAGGGGGTCAAATAAATGTTCGAACTTGGTATCTTTGGACTGCGAATATTGGATTGATGACTTCTTTTATCGCTGACAGCTCGGTATTCTCCTACTACCTACAAGGTAGACTAATTTACAGGATAACCGCAATGATTTTGGTCGTTACACATGTAGCTATGCATAATGAATGTCTAGCATGCATTCGACGAAATCAATGACTTATTGAGACATTGCTATCATATTATGTACTAGGCACCTGTAAGTAAACATAAGGGATGCTGGCAGGAACGACTGGCCACAGCTTCGAGTTCCAACCCCCCGACGTCAAAGATACTTCTCTTCCCATTTGCACGGCATTATTCTTTGACTTGTATCTTCATATCCCTTCTAGCTATGGATCAAACATATACAGAATGGCGACATTTGATCGACGGCATAGGGGAAGGGCCAGCGAAACCAGACCATTCGACCTCGCATATACAGTTCACAGTTCCATCAACCCCGTCCAATACCTCACTGATACCACATCTTGAGAGCGTCCATCATGTCTTTGGACAAGCACTTAGTGTTGATATACGTTTAATGATTTGGCCCGAAAGCTGGTTCCCAGGGGATGATCGACTGAGCCCCTTGTGGCTCCGGCCTTGGATAAAATTTCCTCAACTCCAAGAGGAGATGTGGAACAAAATCCTCAATGCGCCTGAGCTCGTCAATTCATGTATTTTCCCTCCACCAACCTCAATCCAATACACTGCTCAGCTCGTGAAATGGTACGCGGTGTATTCGGAAGACACTTTGAAGCAATTTGCGCACAGAACACTGGACGACTTTCTCGCGCTGATCGTTAATTTTCTGGAACATGAGCAGCCACTGCGATATACATTCAGTGCCCGCGGAAAGCTGAACTTTGACCGTCCGCGTCATTGCTGCATTTCTGTTGCCAAATGCGGATTCGAAGAGCCAGCATACGCAGTTCTGTATATTCCACCATTTTGTCTGACTTTGCCCGAACTAGTTGCAGGGTTGCGCGCGATATCACCGGTCGATGTCTTCGACAAGGAGCCCAATACATTTGAGGAACATGCCACGACTATTGTGGTTCGTGCGATCGCTCGAATCTATTCAAGAATGATGGGCGCTGGGATCCAGTATGGGTATATCTACACAGGAGAGGCCCTGGTTTTTCTTCACATCGACCCAAAAGACTGTACCGCCATAGAATATTATCTCTGTGTTCCTGGCCGTGACATCGCTGCTCATGGTTATGATCCACATTCAAAATGGGTTCGCCGTACGGCTTTGGGCCAAGTCCTCGCTTTCACACTTCAATCATTTGCTGCCGGTCCACCAACGCAGGAATGGCATGACGCAGTCTATCAATCCTATCGCCCGCTCGAAGGCGACTACTCCCTCCTCATGCCCCAAGCTCCGGATGACATTCGATTCAGCCCGCCAGCAGAGTTTATGTATGAAGACTCGTTCTGGACTAGATTCTGGGGAAATCTCCTGCAAGCAGAGATAAAAGCGAGCGGCCCTGAAAGTCCATCTTCACAAACCTCTGGGTTAGATATTTGCAAGCCTTACTGTACCCAGGCATGCCTCTTCGGTACTTTCGAAAAGGGGCTTCTGGATGAAAACTGTCCAAACGTTGCTGAGCACGGCATGGCAAGACATCAGCTCAACTCACAGGAGATCTGCGACAGGATGAATGAGCAACTTCGAGAAAACCGATATAGAGGATTCCAGCAGCTGCACATTGTTGGTCGAACCTGTTATCTATTGAAAGCAACTTTGCGGTCTCATGGATATACGATGATGATCAAGGCTACCGGCACAAGCCAGTCGCGCAGGATCAAAGCTGAACTGATCAACTATCAGAGTCTGAAATCGCTGCAGGGCTCTCAAATCCCTGTATGTCTTGGGATGTTTGAGCCTAAGATCCCATATTGGTATCACGGGGTTCAAATGAACTACATGCTGCTCCTCAGCTGGTCTGGCATTCGAACGGACGAACATACCACCTATGAAACGACTCAGTATCTTGAACAGGAAATGCGGAAACTTGAAGATATCCTTCAAGAACATGGAGTTGTTCAGAAAGATGCAGCCTTCCGGAATGTGCTGTGGAATCCTGACACAGAGTCCTTCATGATGATTGATTTGGAAGATATGAAATGGCTGAAGGGACCTCCACAGGGTTCCAAGGGACACCGCAGTCGTCAAACACAATCCAGCATAGACGAAATCCGGACATGTAGCTAGTTTAAGAAGGAAGAGACATGGAATGTGCTGATTTGGTGCTCAAAAAAGGTATTGTGAGTAAGAGTTGGTGAGTTGGTCGAGTTGAAAGACAGGGCACCACAAAGATTCTATATTTATTGCCAGCACTATCTTTATTCCGGGTGCCATCTCCCTTATTGCCTGCTGGGCTTCTAAAATCCTGTATAATATGACTCCACTGCGAAAAATCAAAACTCACAAGAATGATCACTCCAAATCAAAACTCTAGACACGTATTAGCACAGATCACTAGTTCACACCGTGAAAAGACATACCATATCAAACCAAACACCACCAGCAAAATTAGACTGACTCTTCCCCTGGTTCTTAAACCCAGCACTCTCATAAAATTTGACCAAATAGTCATGCGCAATAAGCACGACCTTGCTCGCCCCAAAACATCCCCTCCCAAGATGCTTAAGATACGCCCGAACAAGAGCCCTCCCAACCTTCTTGCCCTGATACTCCGGCGAAATAGCAACAGAGTGAATTGCAATGGTATCACCATACTTATGATTCCCAATCAATTCATCATTGACAAATACAGGCTCATCATCGAGTGATCGCCAATTCTCCGGCATTGACATCGATCCGTCTGTGATGCGCGTATAGGGAGTCCGCACTGCAATGACATGTCCAATAAGTTGAGGTGATGATGGATCTTGCTCATTCTCAACAAAGAGGCCCAGACATAGCTCCGGGCATGCTCCCAGGCGATAGCAGAACTAGGTCCGTGTTAGAGGGAATAATTTAAAAGAAGCACCCCTGATGGGAATTGATTATTCGGTTCTAATTCTGACTGACCTTTTCCTCCGAGCATCGCTCCGCCTCTGTAAAAGCTTCTTCGACAGCTACACAGATCTTCACGTCTTCCTTGTTTAGAGTCCGGGTGAAGGCATTGGATCCGCCGAGGCCAGGGATGTGGATGTTCTGGTGCATGATGTCCTTAGATTTGAGGAGAGGAGGCAATTGAAAATAGAAAATAAGAATTCAAATCAGATAGAATTTACATGCCTTTTGAATGAGTCAAGGCCGTTTCTATATCGGCGGGTCCAAGTATGACAAATCGGAGTATTCGGACCGGAGTGTTCGGCGTGGGAACCTTGTCGAAGATCTTTAAAGTCGATCGCTACGCAAATCGTGAAATCCGGAGAAAAAGTGGATATCGAAACACTGAAACATGTTGATATGATGCGTCAAGTGCAAATGATCAAGAGGCTGACGCTATAGTACCTAGCTACACCGCTACTTGTGCACCGTGGCGGAGAGCATACAATATAAATTATTCCTTAGAACTCATTTTATCTACCTATAGGAGCCCAGCCCTAGTTGAGATGAGGGGAATGTAGTTCAAGCCTTTTGCTGTGCAGTGGCTTCGTGGCTAATATCAGGAATAGGCCTTGGGAATCATCCAACTGGCTTAATATTTACAAGTAGATCGGAGATGAGATAATGTACAAATTGACTTGCTAATATTACACACTGTGGTTCCAGCCATTCACAATTTTGCCAACAAGGACTCGACAAAGGTGCGCAGTTCATCTAGCGACACATCCTCTTTCACGCCCAGTCGACGGCACTGCACCTCCAAAGTCTCCTTCTTCTTCCACCCATTGCCAACAACAACAATAATAGGGTATCCGATCAAATCTGCATCACCAAGTTTCCAGCCCATACCCTTGTCCCGGTCATCGAGGATAACATCAACAGGTGCTGAAGCGTCACTGGTAAGAGTATCGTATACCTGATTCGCAACGGTCTCCAGGCCCTTTCCTGAGACCACCACAGCCTCGTAGGGTGCCATAGCACGTGGCCAATTGAGCCCCTTGGAATCAGCAAGTCGATTCGCCACTGCGGAGATCATACGCGAAACACCGATACCGTGACATCCCATCTGCATAGGTACGATTTGTTCCTTGCCTGAGGATTTTGCACCAGGATCTTCAGATCCCTCGAGAAGAGCGGAGTTGACAGAAACAGACGCGTTCAGGACTTTGCTGTACCGCGTCCCCAAGTGGAATGTGTGTCCTAATTCCACGGCAGAGTGGCTAGTTAGCGATCCATGCGCGCACTGCGAGCACTGATCTCCGTTATGTACGCGGACAAGGCTGAGTTTGTTTGTAGTTCCAGGGAATCGGTCCAGCTTGGAGTAATCTATCTCCGAGGCTGTGCAGCCAACTTCCTGGAGAAGATCACTCAGGGGTGGGCGCTGGTATACCCGAACCTGTGAGTCGTATAGATCTACCACACGCGGCTTCTGCGTGGACTTGTTTGCCTTTACGTGGGCGGTCCATCGCTGTAATGGGTTTTCCACGCTCAGATCAAGGTCAATACCGGCGGCGGTTGCCACTGCCTTGACGGCGTGTGAGTTGACATGGCGCTCAACAGGCTCTGTCGCGCCGTCCTGCATCGAAAATTTGGGGTGCCAGCTCCGTACGATGGTGCTGCTATCGTGAGAGATGGCCATCCACATGCCAGTTGAGATTGTTGGTCCACCTTCGACAGGTGCATCATCTGTCTGGAAGCCAGGTGCTGTGTTATGTTCGGACTCCTCAGAGCTGTGCGTCTTGCCGTCTGCGAGTTCCTCGTTATAGACGTGGTCACAGTGCGAGCAGCTGACAACCTCGTCCTCGCCCTTCGGGCTGATGAAGTGATACTCATGGCTCAATGAGCCGCCCATGTTCCCCGAGTCTGCTGCCGCGACTAGGTAAGGAATCTTGAGTTCGTTGAATAATTCTGTGTAGGCATTTTTGACTGCATCATATGTTTTCAGTGCCTCGCTGACACTGTAGTCGAACGTATAGAGGTCTTTCATGATGAACTCTCGCCCACGAAGTAGGCCCTGTCTAGGCCGGGCCTCATCTCTGTACTTTCGCGCTTCATTCATGATATCGTCAGTGAGATTTAAAAGTAATAGATGAACAAAGAGTCTCACTAATTTGATACACCCGCAAAGGCAGGCTCTTGTATGACGTTGTCAGATTCCCCACAAGTGTTGTGATCTCTTCCTCGTGTGTTGGAGCTAAGAGAAATGGGGTATCTTTCCGATCTTTGAATCGAAACAGCTAGTATGAATGTTAATACTATTATGCAAGACACTGGGACTGATCAACGTACTTCGGAACCATCGCTAAGTCTGCCGGACTGTGCCCAGAGCTCTTGCGAGGACATTGAGGATAAAGAGACCTTGGATGCGCCTAAATTTGGGTGAGTTGTCATCCCACGACAGTCACAGGGTGTATCACATACCAAGTGAGCGCATATGCTTGTCAATCAGACGCTCTAGCTTATCTTGGACACGTAGACCAAGTGGAAGTAAATGAAACACCCCAGAATATGCCTGGAGGAGCGTCAGAGAGCTTTACTTGGCAACAAAGATGAGATTGCTCACCTGTCGAAGAAATCCACCTCGGACTAATAGGTCATTGGCATCCTCTAAATCCCCGTTAACATCTGACGATGGTCAATTCCTATCGGGTTTATCGATGGCATACCCTTTTCACCATCAACGGGCTTCTTGGAAATTCCACCAGTAGGAATCCATGTATTTGAAACACGGCTTCTGCCGTCAACCTACATTGAGTCAGTACACACTATGAAGCACATTCAATCAATCTTTGGAAAGCGCGTACGTGAAGATTGCATTGCTGGACGCGCAGGGTCAAGGCTAGCCGCCGCCCGGCTATGCGCCCTGACAGAGGTCGCAGCACAGAAATCATCGGTTAAGATTGTTCAAAGCGCCTGAAACTATTATTCTTGCAATTGAACAGCAGGCTTAACAAAAAATAAGATGTAGAGCGAGCCGAGTTGTCCCTTCTCCCATGTTTCTTATCGTGTTGGTCCGAGCGCCCCGATAACCCGCCGCAAAAGATTTCTCCGTCTAATTTTCTTTCCTCTATCATTCAACCCCAAACACAACACACCATGGCTACAGGGAAAGGAAAGCGCTCTTCGGGCGCAGCTGAGACTGTTCCCGCGACGAGCAAATCAGCTCCCACTGCGGAAACCGTTCCCTCCATGCCAGACGAGAGCGCCTTTGCGGGCCTACGACAGAAAATTGAACAGCGTTTGAAGACCCAGAACCAGAGCACCGGGAAAGGCAAGAAGGATAATACAAAGCCACCAGCCCCTACGGCCAATGCTGTCGCGAATAAAGGGAAGCAGTCTCCCGCCAAACCCAGCCGGCCTCAGGATTCTGCGCAAGGCAAGAAGCGGGATCGCAGCGGCGAGGTGATTGCCCGGGAGCAGAACAAGGGTGGAATGAACAAGCAGGAAAGGCTCAAGATTGGCAAGAAGAGCAACGATGACGAAACACTGCGCCAAGAAATTCTAGCTATGGGTGGCACCGAGGAGGATCTTGATCTTCTTGCTGGCGTCGACTCCGAGTCTGAGGTCGAGGGCGAGCCCGGCAAGGTTGACGATGATCTTCGGAAGCAGCTGTCTAGTATGCTGGAGGCTTCAGGACACGTCGTGCCTGAGGACCTAGCCGATGACGAAGTTGAGGACGTCGAAGAGGAATTAGAGAGCGAAGATGATATCGAGAACAGCGAGGATGATGTAGAGATCAGCGATCCGGAATCTGACATTGAGGAGGCTCCTGCTCCGAAGTACGAAGCTACGGTGCCTAAGGAGTATTTGAAGCTGGTAAGTTTTGGACCGCCTAGCAATACAACGCTTTTGCTAATATGATCATTATAGAATGTTCTTCCTCGGTCCGACTGGTACAATATCCCCATGCCGTCCTCCGCCAAAGACACGAAACAAATGAACGCCTTGCCCCGCCACCTAATGGAGCGCGTTCACGAGCTGGCCAACAAATTGCTACAGGAAGAAAATGAGGAATATGCGGCAGCCCAGAGAGCATCTGCTTCTTCTTCCCACAAGTTCTACTCGACCATTATGGCGTCTGGTACCCTGAGCGATAAAATTTCAGCCCTGACTCTTAACGTCCAAGAGTCCCCTCTGCACAACACCAAGGCACTGGAGACTTTGATTGGTCTCGGAAAGAAGCGTAGCCGTGCGCAGGCAGTTGAAGTTCTGCGATCTTTGAAGGATATGTTCGCACAGGGTACCTTGCTTCCTAGCGACCGACGCTTGAGGTCTTTCACTAATCAACCTGGACTCGTCGCCGCATTCCAAGGCGCCGGTGGGCGGTGGAACGAGAAAGACCCTCTTCCGGGTGGTTTGAAAAAGAGCGAGTTGATTGTATGGGCTTTCGAAAACATCGTTAAAGATCAATACTTCGAGGTCATCAAGATTCTCGAAATTTGGTGCAATGACGAGATCGAATTTTCACGGACCCGAGCCGTCAGTTATGTTTACGAACTTCTAAAGGAAAAGCCAGAACAGGAGACCAATCTCCTGCGGCTTTTGGTCAATAAGCTCGGAGACCCAGGCAAGAAAATTGCCTCTCGGGCATCATACCTGTTGCTGCAACTCATGCAGTCGCATCCTATGATGAAGCCTATCATCATCAAGTCGGTTGAAGAAGTGCTGTTCCGACCTGGGCAGAGCTCACACGCCAAGTACTATGCTGTTATCACTCTGAACCAGACAATCTTGAGATTGAAGGAAGAAAAGGTGGCCGCTCAGCTGCTGGACATCTACTTTGGACTTTTCCTTGTGCTTTTGAAGCCCACCCATCAGGGCCAGGCTGGTTCCAAGGGCAAGCCTGCCCCCAAGGGGAAACATAACAAGCATGGAAAGGGACCAAAGGGCAAAGGCGACGACGATGCTGCCAAGGGACAGGCCCAGGATGACGAGATGCGGGAGAAGCTTATCTCTGGTGTTTTGACCGGTGTCAACCGTGCTTATCCCTTCACTGACTCTGATTCCGAACGGTATGTTTTGTTCACACTCTATACCTCCACGCGATTTACTAAACTGTCCTAGCATGTCGAAGCACCTTGACACCTTGTTCCGTATCACACACTCCTCAAACTTCAACACCAGCATCCAAGCTCTCATGCTGATTCAACAGCTCACGGTGGCTAACAAGGTCTCCGGCGATCGCTTCTACCGCACTTTGTACGAATCCTTGCTCGACCCCCGCGTTGCCACCTCATCCAAGCAATCTCTCTACCTCAACCTCCTATATAAGGCTCTCAAGAATGATCTGAACGTCCGCCGAGTCAAGGCATTTGTGAAGCGTCTTGTCCAGGTACTTGGCATGCACCAGCCCTCTTTCATCTGCGGTGTCTTCTTCATGATCCGTGAGCTCGAGAAGACCTTCACAGGCCTCTCGTCCCTGGTCGATCAGCCAGAGGAGAACGATGATGATGAGGAGGAGGTCTTCCGTGACGTCCTCGATGAGGATGACGAACAGCCGGAACCTGCCCCCGAAGTCGAAGCCAAGAAGCAGAGCAACGTATATGATCCTCGCAAGCGAGACCCTGAGCACAGCAATGCCGAGAGAAGCTGTCTTTGGGAATTGCTGCCTTTCACCACTCATTTCCATCCTTCCGTCTCTCTTAACGCTACCAACCTACTTGAGCACAAGCCCATGAGTGGCAAGCCAGATTTGACTTTGCACACTCTCACTCACTTCCTCGACCGCTTCGTGTACCGCACGCCCAAGGCCAACGCCAGCTCCCGCGGTACTTCTATCATGCAGCCCCTGGGTGGTGGTGAAGTGGCCGATCGTTTGGTCGAGGCCGGCAAGAAGGCAGAGAACCAGATGCCTCTCAACACCGAAGCCTTCTGGAAGAAGAAGGCCAACGATGTTGCTGCTGAGGATGTCTTCTTCCACGAATACTTCACTCGTGTCAACAAGGACAAGGAGAAGGTTCGTTCCAAGAAGAGCAAGGACGTTGAAGCTGAAGATCACTCCGACGAAGGTCTTAGCGAAGACGAGGACCAAATCTGGAAAGCTCTCGTCGACTCTCGCCCCGAGTTGGAAGCGGACGAGGACAGCGACGACGATTTGGACATGTCCGACTTGGAATCTGCTTTGGACTCCGACGAAGATGGCGAAGGCGACGAGGACGAGTCCGATGGCGGCGTCATCTTCAACGACGAGTCGGACGTTCCCTCCGACGAGGAGATGGCCGAGTTCAGCGAGCCCGAGGAAGCCGCTCCCCCAGCCAAGACCAAGAAGGCCGCCAAGAAGCCCTCCAAGGAAGCCGAGGAGGACTCCGACGACTTCGACATGGACGTTTCGGACGACGATGCTTTCATCGACAGCGACGAGGAACTGCCATCGGACATCGAATTCGGTGGAGCCGAACTCGAAGAGCCCGAAAAACCTGCCGATGCTCCCGAGTCGAACCGGAGCAAGCGCCGCAAGCTCAAGCAGCTACCCACTTTTGCCTCCGCGGACGATTACGCTGCACTGCTGGCGAACGAGGACTCCGATGTGGGTATGTAATGTATTTGCACAAAAAGAGTTTGATTATTTCTTACCCCCGTGGGGGCCAAAATTCCTGTTTTGCATCTGGCGTTACAGGTTGCACACATTCCGTTTTATTATTTCTCTTTTTTTACATTGTCATATATATCTATCTCTATCCTATCTATTCCGTCTCTGGAGACTGCAGTCAATACAAGCTCTTTGGAATACACCCGCCTGTCTGGGCAAGACCAGACCAAGACTGCCGATCTTGAACCAAGCCTTTCCCCTCTCTAGGCAAAAATACGTAGTCCTATAGGACAGTCCCCGAGTCCAACCATCGAGGTCGCTCTATACTGCTAGGTTGTTCGCAATGTAGCAAGGGGTACTCTAAGAAATCTCTTAAAACTGTACATCTTGTATTCCGCACTGCAGGTCTCATGTCATCAAGGCAACACGATCTATAGAGGGCATCTAAATAAGCTCAGATCTGTGTGGCGTGAAAGCCCCTTAAATCCCTCGACGCCATCGCTGTGGGTTCGCACGCAAGCGGCTGGAGCCGAGGACTAGAACGTTCAATGTTGATGCGTTCTCGAGTGTGCAATGCTTCCTTTGCGCACATTATGTACCATGTCAGAGATGTACAATACATGTCATATGTATGTTGTAGTATAGTACTCCGTAGGTGCGCATCAACTGGGCATCGAAGGCAAGGGCTCTGGGGGCCAGGGGCCAGATCATGAGTCAGCTGCACGTGGTATACTTGCCTCAGGCGTTGATCACAGCTGACAAGGTGCAGATCCTTCCATTCACACCGAGAGAAAATTATGAAATCCTCGAAGGTATCGTATCTTTGATCAAATACCCCGTATACTCCTTACCGTGCTCCACTCTCCCATGCCGAATCCATGTTCTCGGGGCATGGAATGCATGGATTCAGATTCAGACCTGACCTGGATGGATTCATTCGACCACAGCCATCCGCATGCGGGGCCGCCACAGTCCACCAGACGCATAGAATAACGAGAATAACGCATGGTAAACTATGCGGGCGCGACCGATTTTGCCCAAGTGGATTTACATTTCGAAGCTCCAATCAATGACAGTCTTAGCCCCCCTTTGAGAAAAAGCGGATTCGGTATGTCCGTCGATTTTGATATCAAGGAAAAAACAAGAAAGAGGAGAAGAAAAAGAAAAAGAAAAAGGGCATACTTTGTTGAGAAATCATTTACCATGGACGATGAGATTACATCAAGTCAAATGGGCTGGATCCAACTTCCATGATTCCTTGACATCAGGTCCGATCCCCTAAACTGTTCCAAGTCCCTTGGCACAAACCAAGCGTAAGCCACCAGGCTTCGCCTTCCTAGGTAGGCTTCGCCTATTGCAGCT